GCCAAAAACATCCTACCAGCCAACATTCGCCAAAAACATCCTACCAGCCAACATTCGCCACAAACATCCTACCAGCCAACATTCGCCACAAACATCCTACCAGCCAACATTCGCCAAAAACATCATACCAACCAACATTCGCCACAAACATCCTACCAGCCAACATTCGCCAAAAACATCCTACCAGCCAACATTCGCCACAAACATCCTACCAGCCAACATTCGCCACAAACATCCTACCAGCCAACATTCGCCAAAAACATCATACCAGCCAACACTCGCCACAAACATCCTACCAGCCAACATTCGCCAGAAACATCCTACCAGCCAACACTCGCCAAAAACATCATACCAGCCAACATTCGCCACAAACATCCTACCAGCCAACATTCGCCACAAACATCATACCAGCCAACATTCGCCACAAACATCCTACCAGCCAACATTCGCCAAAACCACCTTGCTCTCTACCGTTCCTCCACTCGGTTAACTCCGGCGTCCCACCGCCATTACTAACTCATTATCTCCCCTCCCGGCGTTAGCTCGCATGTTGCATGTCGACTGTTTCAAACTTGGGCTGGGGCCATTAGGCGAGGGCTGGTGAAATGCTCAGGCGAGCACGGAGCTGTGCAGGAACCAAAGACTGCGGCTCAGGTTACCCAAGGAGCCGGCGCAGGGCCGCACGCTCGTCGGTACGTCAACAGCTGGGCTTCTAGTTGCGATATGTCGTCTCGTCCTCTCGCGTGATGTTGCGTTCTTTCTCGTCATCTCTCGTTCTTTCTCGTCATCTCTCGTTCTTTCACGTCATCTCTCGTTCTTTCTCGTAATGTTGCGTTCTATCTCGTCATCCCTCGTTCTTTCTAGTCATCTCTCGTTCTTTCTCGTCATCTCTCGTTCTTTGTCGTAATGTTGCGTTCTATCTCGTCATCCCTCGTTCTTTCTAGTCATCTCTCGTTCTTTCTCGTCATCTCTCGTTCTTTGTCGTAATGTTGCGTTCTTTCTCGTACTGTAGTGTTCACACTTTCTCCTGCAAAGTAGATATTCTATGTCCCATCTCTATCTTTCCTTGTATATTGTACCATTTCCATCTTTCTGATTCTATCCTACATTGTACCATTTCCATCTGTCTGATTCCATCCTACATTAAACCATTTCCATCTGTCTGATTCTATCCTATATTGTACCATTTCCATATTCCTTGTCCTATCCAGAATCACCACGTTCTATTTCTGCGTTGTTTGTCCTCTCACAACAACCCATTCCCCTTCATGTCTTGTCTTCTAGCATTGCTAACCCTGACAAAACACATTTTTACACACTCGACTTTTCTAAATAAAATTTAAAAAAAAACCTGACGAAAATACATCACACACAAGAAAAACAAAGACCCCCCCCCCCCCCCGCATTTGGTGCCACAAGCTGTTCTGGAGCATGGCTCGCTTAGATTTGAACCCTCGCCCTAGCATCAACTGTCTTGAGACTCACTGGTCCCAGCACTTGCCCCAAGCCTTGGTCTACGATCTAGCCTCGTGATGGCTGGACGGTAATCTCGTAAACCCACGCATTTGAAATAGCTATACATAGATCGATCAACTACGGCATTTTTTGAGAACGGTGTTTGTTCGAGATTGTAAGATAGAACAACACTTTAAAAACTTATGACCAGATTTACATGGTATTCTGGGCTTGTATTTGTACGTAATTTTGAAACGTAGGTTTATTTTTTTTGTCGGTACTTTTATGGTGTGCTAAACGCGCAAGTTCAAGTGTAGGTTATTTACGTTGGTTATTTGAAAGCAGACACAAACTCTAGTTCAAATACCGGGAAGTGGGCACTTGTTCAATGAGGGGCTGATTTTACGTATAACAGATAAATGTCAAAATTAACGCACGGCTGTGGGGTCAGTAGTAGAGACAATGATGGGGGTCGGGTGAGGGGGTCGGTTAGGGAAAGTAGAGTGAGGAGCGGGGGCTTATTATGTGGATCAAATGGGGTTGTTAATAAGTGTGGGGGGGGGGGTGGAATGGGGGTCGTCAATGACGTAGATAGTGAATCGTGGTCAGTAGTCGTAGAAAGCGAATCAGTTGAGGGGACTAGTTGTAGATAGTGAATTAGGTGGGGTCTGTTGTAGCAAGGACAGAGAAAAAAAGGGGGTCAGTATTATAAACCGTCGTGTGGGGGTGTGATGGAGGTGGGTGTGTGATGGAGGTGGGGTGTGATGGTGCTGAGGGTGTGTAGTTATTACGACTGGACTACTTCCACATTGTTGACAATGTAGAAACTGGTGGGCGTGTGTACAAGTGGTTGTGTGGAGTGGTGTTTGTGTCAGTGGGTTGGTACACTGCGTCCATTGTGTGGAGTGGTGTTTGTGTCAGTGGGTTGGTACACTGCGTCCATTGTGTGGAGTGGTGTTTGTGTCAGTAGTTTGGTACACTGCGTCCATTGTGTGGAGTGGTGTTTTTGTCAGTGGGTTGGTACACTGCGTCCATTGTATACCTGCATGTGTATGACGTCACCTGATATGTGGCTGCTGGTACCTGCTCTATTATCAGCGGCTCGCATGTTTAATCTAAACCGAACAAGTGAAACAATCAATCACCGCTCTGCATGTATTATTACTTCCCTTTAGCTAGTGGCTTTGTTATGGTTGTTATATAAATAGTTCAGTTAAAAAGGTTTCTCTTTGTTGTCAACAATTTTCTGCTACTTTACATGTTCACCAGTGTAGGCCCTATTCTGCAGTGGAAGATATTACCACCACCCACATTCTCTCTTCAATTGTTGTATTATTTGTGCCTAACAGTAAACTCCATTATCCAACTATTACCCCCTTATCCGTCACCTCCCTTATCCAACTATTACCCCCTTATCCGTCACCTCCCTTATCCAACTATTACCCCCTTATCCGTCATCTCCCTTATCCAACTATTACCTCCCGTATCCAACTATTACCTCCCTTATCCAACTATTACCTCCCTTATCCAACTACCACTTCCTTATCCAACTATCACCTCCCTTATCTATCACCTCCCTTATCTATTACCTCCCTTGTCCACACTACTAACGGCATGTGCACGGCACCAGTGCTAACTCTGAACCCCCCCCCCCCCCCCCCCCCCCCCGTTGTAACCCGCATGCACTGACCTACTACGTTAGTAACGACCCTAACCTGACCTACTGACGGCTCCTCTAAGTGTTATATGTCATAACAGCTGGCGGATTACTGCGGATCGGATTTCCCCCCTTTTGCAGGTTATCTTCCCCTGTTTCACGCCTCGCGCCGGCCGCCATTTTTCGTCACATCCGTTCATCGCGTTCAGTCGAGTGATGGGCTAGTCCATTGCTGTCTAAAAGGTAATTCAGGATCCTTTGGCGCGTGTGTGTGTGAGGAACGTACTGGTATTTTGGTTGGTTAATTTTTGTGTTTAAGAAATCGTGAAGTTGTTGCGAAATAAGTAAATCTAGATCTACTAGTTCCTTACTGTATTTATTATTGTGGAAAGGACATTTGACTGATTGCTATTATAGTGTATCTGAACTACTGTAAGTCTTTTCTTTGTTATTGTCCTAATAAATTAGTACTATGATATTATTTTGCGATATGTGTTGTAAAATACTCTTGACCTATAGCCTATGGTTTAAGTGTCGTTGTTTACAATTCTCGTTTTAGTAAAGTTCCCTCTTTGAACCTGACGGTCCATGGGGCAAGTGAAGTAGAGTTCACAAGTTTCTGTGACCACAGCATATGAAGATATAGTGTGGTCAGCACTATTCCCAGCCACCTTTACTTTCGCTAACGTGAGTTAGAATTCTCCCTTCACGTTACCAATATATTGGTACGGCTAATCGGTCCAAACAGAAAATACTTCAGATCTTAGTGTCTCTTTTGTGAAAGAAATCTTGTATTCATCTGTATATTGAAATATAAGCATAACATTTGTTTGACGATTTATTTTTTCGGGGTTCTGTTTGCCGTTCCCCTAGAAATACCCTGGGTAGGTTAACTGAGCTTAACTCTAACTCTAATCCTAACCCCAACCTTCAGCAAGCTATTTGATGACATAGAGAAGTTTGTTACAATTGTTGGTTTGTATGTAGTAAAAGATATAGTAACTTGGTCATGTGGTCAACACTACTTGGTCATGTGGTCAACACTACTTGGTCATGTGGTCAGAACTAAGTGGTCAAAACTACTTGGTCATATGGTCAGAACTAAGTGGTCAAGTGGTCAAAACTACTTAGTCATGTGGTCAACACTACTTGGTCATGTGGTCTACACTACTTGGTCATGTGGTCAACACTACTTGCTCATGTGGTCAACACTACTTGCTCATGCAGTCAACACTACTTTGTATGTGGTCAGAACTAAGTGGTCATGTGGTCAACACTCTGCTCAACACTCTGCTCGTATGGGGTTAGCGAAGTGAAGCATTGACGAGACAAAAAACTTTTTAAAATGAAAATTTTACTTGTGAGATTGTACGTGTGCTGATATTAGGGTTTAGGACAGTTTAGGATATAGTTGGATCTAGAGAAGGGATAAGCTTACACAGTTAGAGACAGAGTTTGATTGCGATATGACTGGGGAAAAAACGCTAACTGCTAAAAAAATAATTGAGAATGAGAGCAGCATGAAAAGCTAAACGCTGCAGTGGATGTCGGAGTAACGTGGTATTAAATCTATCGGCGACCTGTTGGAGCGTTCAGCGGTGTCATTTCTGAGACGGGCGTATTGATTGGTTGTTCCCAGAATTGATGCCATGGACGGCTTCTTTTTTTTTAGAAGTGATTTAATGGACGGCCACATTTTGTTCATTAATGGTTTAATGGACGGTCTCTTTTATTTTATTTTCCTGAAATCATATATTGGACGGTCTATTTTATTTTCCTGATATGATGTAATGGACGGTCAATTTTTATTTTCCAGACGTGATGTAAAAGACGGTCAATTTTTATTTTTCAGAAGTGATGTAATAGACGGTCAATTTTTATTTTTCAGAAGTGATGTAATGGACGGCCCCAGACATGCGGCTGAACCGTGCAGCGAAGGTTGTGATTGTGATGAGCATGTTGTCATGTCTGGTCACCTTTTGTCTGTGGTCAACATGTGGTGGCCGGACCTTTGATGCCGGGTAAGTCTCTCACACCTCCCCCCCCACCCCCCACACACACATGTTGTCATGTCTGGTCACCTTTTGTCTGTGGTCAACATGTGGTGGCCGGACCTTTGATGCCGGGTAAGTCTCTCACACCTCCCCCCCCCCCCCCACATGTTGTCATGTCTGGTCACCTTTTGTCTGTGGTCAACATGTGGTGGCCGGACCTTTGATGCCGGGTAAGTCTCTCACACCTCCCCCCCCCCCCACATGTTGTCATGTCTGGTCACCTTTTGTCTGTGGTCAACATGTGGTGGCCGGACCTTTGATGCCGGGTAAGTCTCTCACACCTCCCCCCCCCCCACCCCCCCCCCACATGTTGTCATGTCTGGTCACCTTTTGTCTGTGGTCAACATGTGGTGGCCGGACCTTTGATGCCGGGTAAGTCTCTCACACCTCCCCCCCCCCCCACCCTTAGATACATATTGCAGTTACACCCATAGTGGCGCGCATTTTGTATGACTGCCTGCTGCCTTGTATGATTGTCCGTTGTTCTATATGATTGCCTATTGTCCTGTATGATTGTCCGTTGTCCTGTATAATTGTCCGTTGTTCTATATGATTGCCTATTGTCCTATATGATTGCCCGTTGCCTAGTATGATTGCCTGTTGTTCTGTATAATTTCCTGCTGTCGTGTAGGATTGCCTATCCACCCCCCCCCCCCCCCGTATCCCACTACAAACGAGGTCTCTGCGACACAACAGTTTCCGGTCTAGTGGTTGTTGTTTTTTAACCCTAAAAAATGTTGGGACAAGCACGACGTGACTGATCCACTAACTGATGGTGTGTAACAGTTCAGCTTGTACACAAATACTCTCTCTCTCTCTTTGTGTACACTGTTAGCAAGCCAATATAACACAAATAGTTTACGAAATATGAATTTTTTTTTTGACGAAATATGAAGTTCAAAAGTCCAACATGTGTATACGTCATGAAATGACTCTTGTGTTAAAGAAGTTTGATTTATTTCCAACCTTTTAGGACTTTTAATTTAAAACTTGCAAGCGAATACTTACATTACATTGTGGTTTGTTTGTTTTTTATAAATTATTGTGATTTAATATTTAATTACATTTTTAAAAATTATAATTAGTAATTTTAGAAAAGTTGATAGTCGTTTTAAAATCAACTTTTAGGCTGTTGCTGTTTGTTTTGATTTTTCCAAATTTTACCCATAATGCTCATCACTTTCAGTGCCATACAAAACGCTGCCTTCGAAAATCAGCCCAACTTTGTGCAGACCGAGTACCATAAAAGGGGAACTAACTCTATCGCAGCAGACAAGGCGGGGCAGGCAGAAGTTATCCACCCTGACGAGTATCATGAGATTGACTGTAACATCAACAGCGAGACGACAGTCAAGTGTAGGCGGGAAGGAAATGAAGTCTACATGCCGTTCTCATTTGTCAAAAACTACTTTGAGGTAATATTTTGGGCCGTTGTTTAAACTACTTTGGGCTTTGTTAAAATTCAAAATACTTGGCAATGTTTAAATACTTTTGACAATTTTCAGAATACTTTATCTGGGCCATTGATTACTTCAAGCCATTTTTAAATTACTTAATGCCTTTGTTTGGAGTACTTTGGGCCACTGTTAAAAATACTTAAGGCATTTTTCAAATTTACTAGGCAATAGTTTAAAGCTCAAATCTGACTGTATAGCCAAAATTAGAATTCCAAAAAGCAAAGTATATATTTCTAACTTGAAACTTTGGTTTACAAATTAATATAGAAAACACTACTTGCTACTATTACTAGAGTACAACCTGGAAATTTTTTTTATAAGACAGAGAACTATAACAGTCTGTCTAAATTAACACATATCAATTTAGTGAAACTGCTGATCACTCACTTTCAAATACAAATATGTATTACCCTACCAATGGATTTTTTAAGAGAATGATATAAAAGACATTCATCATATATGACACATGCCATTTATAATTTTAACATTCATTAGTGTGCTGAAAATGAATTTTTAATTAGTATATTTTAAAATCAACTTTTAACTGCAGTACAGTTTTTCAAATAATAAAATTATTTAAATGATTTTGTTCCACAGGTCTATGGGGAGCTGGAAGAAGCGGATGACAACGAGAGATTTGAGTTCCATCACTCCAACTCTATTGTCCACCCTCCCCGGTCAACATACTCCCCTGGGTCAGTTTTTATGGCATTTGACCACTACAATGTGGAGAACAGAGAAAGGGTTAAGTGCATCACAGCCTCAGAAGGTAGGACATTTTATCACCACTATCATTAAGTTTTATCAAATCACTATAATAAATGATTTTTATCAAAGTATTTTTTCTCAAATTAATTTAATTACATTTGGGTTTTAATCAAGTTGGCGCAGTTTGTTTTTACACAATTCTTTTTCTTTTAATACCTCACTGTTGTTCAAAAATGATTGAGCATTCAGGCTCTAGCTAGTAGTAGTCTGTAATTTACAGTGTAAAGGAAGTCTTTTGATGCTCCTATCAATTCTACTTAAATTAACCCCTTGTTTCCCCCTTGCTAATAGATTGAGTTTAGTAAGAGTGAAACAAAAGCTGGTCTAAGCTTTTGTTTATGTAATATTTTATTATTAACAGTTTGAAAACTTTTAATTTTATAGTAAAAGTTATTTTGAGATGGGTATAAATGATTCATCTTTTTAAAAAAACCGGAACCTATTTATTCTCCCTTTAGTTATACCATGAATTATATTTTTCATCCAGGTGTTCCAATCACCACCCAGTGGAACAAAGACGGATACTATTATCCCATCCAGGTGGCCCAGTTTGGCCTGAGCCACCATGCCAAGCACCTGGTGAGTGGGGACCCTGACCAGATTGTTCTAGAGGATGGGGAGGAGGACAATCTGGCAGGCTGGACCATGCCAGATAAAAAGTCGCAGGTTAAAATAGCACTGGATGGTCCGAGAAAACAGCGCGTCATGGAGTTTTTAACCTCAGGTAAGGAGAATAAATGGGACGCTATAAATAAATTTAACCCTAAACTTGAAACTATGGCAATGCTATAAACAGTTTTTGAGAAAATGCAGAAATAAACATAAACTAGGTTTGGGCAGCAAGTTCAGTATTTTATTTCTGAGCCCACTCTGCACTAATGAGTACTCAACACTAGCTGGGAATATAATAAGTGGCAAGTTTACTGATCACCCAAACCCTTCTCATTATTTAAGCACTATAAATTTTAAAATAAGTACATCAATAAGTTTTTTTAATGAACAAAATAGTTACCATAACTAAGAAAAATATATTTTATATCATGTAAATATTGATGAAATGATTGATCACCTGTTACAGATTCCTTCCAAGCCAAAGGTATCACAATGTTAGCTGATGAGAAAAATCAATGTGTTACGATGGATGTGAAGTTTGTCACCAACGGGAGCGTTACAATTGTTGTAGAGACCAACAGCGGGGAGAAGCTGAACATACACTACCTTCTCTCCAACACCCCCATCAGCTTTGATGGCAAGTCAAATATCTACTATGGTATGGGGGAGCGCAGGGGGGAATGGATTCACCTGGCCAGAGACCTGAAGTTTGACGTAATGAAAGGTGTGTTGCTGAAGTTGAAGGCCGATAAAGTCAGAGAGCTGTACGGGCTGGCTAAGGTTCTGGATATCCACCTGCGCGGTCACGGTTGGCTGGACAACCTGACCATGTCGCAGTCGGTTCACGTGGACCAGTTCTACGACGCCGCCAACTGGTTGGTGCGGCACCAAGACCAGCGAGGCGGCTGGCCAATTATGGTGCAGCGGCGCATCGTCGACGGGATCCTTGAGCTCCCCCCAGGGTGGTACTCCGCCATGGGTCAAGGTCAAGCCATGTCGGTTTTAGTTCGAGCGTACTTGCACTCTAAGGAAGAAAAGTACTTGCGGTCCGCTGTCAACGCTCTCAACCTGTTTGAGGTGGACAGTGCGCAGGGGGGTGTCCGCGCCAAATTTCTCGGCCAGCTAGACTGGTACGAAGAATACCCAACCACACCCAGCTCCTTTGTACTCAACGGGTTCATATATTCCCTACTGGGGCTCTATGACTTGAAAGAGACAGCCGCGGGTGACGGCAAAGCCCGTGCAGAAAAAATATACAACTCAGGAATGAAGTCTTTAAAAACTATGATAGGAATGTACGACTCCGGGGTCGGAACATTTTATGATCTCAGGCACATCAGTGTGGGGATTGAACCCAACCGCGCACGGTGGGACTACCACACAACACATATAAACCAACTCCTGCAATTAATGGTCATTGACGACGATGATATTTTTAAAACCACAGTTCAGCGATGGCTGGGATACCTGAAAGGGAAGAAAGCCAGACACAACTAAATTGTGTATGTTTCGTTATTTATTATTAGGTCATTCAATGTTGCTTCTTCTTAATTAGGGCTAATTTATTCCTATACATATTAGGAATAAGAAATTGTGAAAAAATAATAAGTATTGCTTTTTAATTAATTAATTATATTTGATATATTTTTTAAAATGTTTTTTACTAAAAGAAAACACTTAATCAAAATACATGAAAGTATTTATTTCTAATGCCCTTTGAAATATTTTGCCAAAAGGTTTTTAAACTAAACATTAATTATTGTTTTATTTAAATATTCACTTTTAAAAATATGCAATTCTACTATTGCTGTATGTTATAACAGTTTGTTAAATCAAAATTTTAAATACCTGAATGCAAGCATGATTGTTTTTGTTTATTTACCACCTAATCAACGTAACTGTTTGATAATTCAGTTGATTCCTTTATTTTTCGTTAACTGTTTTAAACAGACTTGGACTCTGAATGTTTCAATCTTTATCAAATTTTTTTTTTAAAAGGAATTGTTTGGCTTCGAAGTAGCACAAATTTGTTGGGACAATTTATTCTTTGTGTATCTTGTTAAATGTTTATATACATTTTGGAGGTTGAGGGGATGGTGAAATGGCAAGGCTTCTCTAAATATTTTGTATCCTTTGGCTTTCACTTCTATGTAACATTGTAATTGTATTGTTTTAATATGCAAATTGTTGTGACAAATGATATTTGGTCAATTGATATTAAATACATGCCAAGGGTCAAATAGGCCTGCATATCTGACCTTAATTATGTTAAATAATTAACATCTAATTTCGCACTGTTAATCATATTTTTATTTAAAATCGCTAGAAAAAAGTTTAAGCTGCTATATTTTAAATTTTTGTTTTAACTACTTTTTAAGAATATTTCAAAGTATTTTTTGTTCTGTCAAGGGGGTTGTTTATATTCTTTGTAAATAATATTTAAACTTATGTGATATTTTGTATTAGTATTTTTAAAATTGCATTCCATTACTGTAGAAATTTATTTTCAAATGAATGTCTGCTTTCCATTGTCTCATTTTGGTGTACATGTTATTTCAAATGTGCTTGTATCCACAGAAAAGCCATTTTCATCCATCTTATTTTTTAATATTTTTCTGGGATTTTCTAAAGTGTATTTTCTCTCTCAATTTTAAAGGGTAAATTAAGAGTTAGATATATTTTTTAAAATCACTTGTGTTAACAGTAACAATTTTCCTCTTGTAAAACTACATCTTTAACTTCAATTGAATCAAAGTTAGGAATGTAAAACAGCAACTGAAAAGATGGGTAGATTTTGTATCATTCTGGTATGAAATGTTTTGTAGCATTCCAGTTAAAATGCAATAGGCAGCAAAATAAGCTTTGCAGTGTAGAAACTTTAGAAAATTGTGATTACAAGTCAAATTCTAGTAGGACAACCTGAACATAATTAAAACTTTAGCATATGAAGTAAATTTGTTAAATTTTAGCTGAAATCAACTATTTCTGTATAAATCAGGTGCCACTAACTCTGTACAGAAAAACTTAATAATTAATATGTGAAGTGATTCCATTTGCTGCATAATTTTGTTTTATTAATGTGGTCATTTTAAATGCAAATACATTATGAATAAGAAATGGTTCTGGTGTTTTTGTTCTTGTGCCTATAGTTGTGAATGTAAACACACAACAGTGACTGACAGAATAATTAATTATAACTGTTTATTTGTGATTCTATTCCACAGATAAGCTATCTAAAGTTATATTTAAAACATCATTTTACATTCTTAATGCATAGTATCTTTTATTTTTTAAAGTCCCATACAATGTTGAAGATGCTTGTTGAAATGGGTGATTCTGAACTGAAACTTTATAGTAAATTTTAGCATAAGACATTGCAGCCCTTTGCTCCCCAACGGTCACAAAGGATGAATGATAAGCATAAGTCAATCATGTCTACAATTAATTTTTCTTTCCTAAGCTTATAGTACATGTAATTCCTATTCTCTATAGGACTTTAAAATTAAGTACAGAAAATAAATAATCAATGAAACAGATCAGAGCAGCCCAACTCAGGCTTAACAAACTTACAGTAAACACTTCACAAAGTAACCTTAGCTGACATTAAAATAAACAGGGTGAAAAAAATAATTATTGTTGCCATATAGTGGGCAAGTAAATTATTACCACATTGATGAAAGACTATTTTGTCAATTGCAAATGTAAATAAAAAAAAAGAAACAGGTGCTATGTACATTATGTAACAGAAAATTGAAACAATTATTTTATTCAAAGGAATAAAATAAAAATATGACTTTTGAATTTACAAAAGTATCAAAATAATCCAACTTTAGTAAAATTTCAGAGGCTCAAAGTGGCTTTAAAATAATTTGAATTTTTTTTAAATTATCAAAACAGAAAACCACTATTTAAAACATAAACTTGAAGTAAAAATTATTTGTTTAAAAACTTAAAATCCGGACTTAAAAAGTATTCAAAAACTAAATTATTTTAAGAATGTACACAACCATAGTAACAGGTTTTAAAGGAACAACATAATGATTTTCAGATTTACTCACAATAAAATGCAATGGTCAACGTGGTTTCAAAAGAAGTAAATAAAACAATTTTTTAAAATTCTGATATTTTCAGAAACAAGAGAGCTGATTGATACACCAGGGTTAGATGAGATGTTTAATGCTATTCAAAAATGTAATTTAATTAAGATGGCTTACAGATTAACTGATAATCAGATAACTTAATAACTATCAAAATAATTATGGTACAATTCCTCTAAAGAAATAAAACTAAATTAGATACGTCAAACTGATTGTTCTTCATCAGATCAAATTATTTGTATTAATCTCAACAGTTTAAAAAAATTTGAGAGCCTCCTTGAAATCAGCGTAAGTCAGCTGAGAGAGAAAGAGGAAGTTCATGACAGAAACAATGTCCCAGGTCTCAGAATCTTTAGAGAAGGTTAGCTGACACAAGAGAGTGAGAGACTCAAACAAAACCTGGTTTAGCTTGACCTGCAGCTTGCTGGGCGGGCGGCTCTTGCCAAATATTTTATCTGCCACCATTGGCTGGCAGAGATTTCTGACCTGGCTACCACAAGTTGTGTCTGTTGATTCAATCATAGCCATGTGAACTACGGCTGCTGCCACACTTGCACTTGGACGCTGTTGGACATAAAGCAATTCCAAGTTTAATACATGTCAGAAAAATTGTAAATGACTGGCTATTTTAAAGATATTTTTAGAACAAAATCTATGAATACAAATTTCCTGATTTTTTAAAAAACTTACCTTCTTAGGATTCCTTATCAGCAATGCTCTCACTAGTTTCTTAATTGGCAATGGGACGTCCTCTAAATTAATATAGGTCAATAAAGTTATAAAATACATGCTTTGTTTTCCATTTGAATTTTTATATAAATACTTTTAATTTTTAAAACCTCTTTAATACTATTACAAATTGTATTTTATCTTATACCACCAGTTTCAGTATAAAGGTCATATTCTTATTTATTTTTAAATGTATGATCACTAAAAAAACATCTTTAGACTGGCCAAATCAATTAAATCAAGAAGTTGAAAATACCTCAACACAAACACAATATCTTCAAAACAAGTTTTTAATATATAATTTAACATAACTCCTTTAAAAAATGAATATTCAGAAGTTAATTTCATCAAGCATCAACAGGGAGCTCCATTTAAAACTATTTTATAGATATACTTGTATTTCGACATTATTTACCAAACTGAGTTTAAAATAGTTGTAGACAAAAATGACCAACCTGGCAAAGGGGGTAGTTCTTCCTCTTTGTAGTCAACATTTTTTAAACGCCGAGAGGAATTTAATTTACTGGGATAAAATGGATTCTCAGCTCCAAAAATTTCATATGCAATGGCACCAACTGCCCAGAGATCTGATTTACAAAAGTCAAGAAACTTGCCAGGTCCTGGGGTTTCTGTGACCAGCTGACAAAATAAAAAAAATACTTAGAAAAAAATCATTTCTGTTGTAAATTAATAAAATACATCATTTAAATAGTCTCCCAGTTATCAAGTAAAATTTGAATAGAGTCATTAATGATTTGGAATTAGTCTGAGTGCCAACCTGTCATTAAAAATGTTAAAATAAAATTGTATTCATTATGCAGTATTTTACTATAAAACAAATAATTTTTACTACAGTTAACTGTTATCTGAACAACTAATCTTATAAATAGAAAAAGGGTGGTGTGATGAAATAATCAGAATAAACTATTTCAATAAATATACAATTTGTATGGTATAGTATATGCTTGAGTTGACAACACACAAGACCAGACTAACTGTAGATTACAGATTAGGCATTATGGGGTGAGCTGGTATTTACAAAACACAGTAAGCATGTAGTGTTTGATATTTTTGTGTGTGTAAGATTAAATGTATTGTGAAAATGGCGCAATAAGGCCAAGTAGTTGGTAGTAGGATTAAAAAAAAAAAACTCCAAGATTTTGTAGCAATAGAACAGCTGGTTTTCTCATTATATAATTTATATCTAGATGAAAACATCGCAGTTACTGTTTGTATGGAGACTGAAATGTGATCTTTCCACAATCACACCATTTGTAGCAGTACATATTTGTAATGGAAATTACCTCTGGTGCCATCAGCCAAGAGTTACCCCCCATGTAGAGATCTCTTGTATGAAAAGGTATCCGCATACTTTTATTTTCTTCAGCTAGACAACAACCAAAGTCACAGATCTCAAGGCGTGGTGTACCTTAATGGTGGACAAAATGTAGTGTAAATAAATATAACAAGTGGATTGATTACAAATTATGCAAACTAAGCTTGCACTGAATCAAGTGCAAACTTATGTTAAAAAAAAAAAAAGAGAGCTTTAAAAAGCTTTGAAATTTTAAAACACTGCCCAAAACAAGATTTTAAAAAATCAAACACAGCCATAATTAACGACAGACAAATAATGTAAAAAGTCAAAAACAAAAGCCACCTCCATCAGAAGGGACATCAACAAGAATGTTGTCACTCTTCAAATCTCTGTGAGCTATCCCATGTTTCCTTAAGTGGGATACTCCTTCAAGCAGCTGGGCTAGCATCAGGCACCTCGTCCTCATGTCCACTTCATTGTTGGCCAGATAATCTCGCAAATGTGTGTTGCGTCTATTCACATAATTAATAAACAAGTTATTCAATGTAGTAATTTTCTATTTAAAAAATTCAACAGCAACTAGATTTTATGTGTGTCACAACCAAGGATTTTGTAAATTAGAACTAGATTTAAATTGCAATAAATAAAATGAGTTGGTCAAAATTTATAAGACAAATCTTGATAATACATCTCTAATGATTATCCAGGTAATAAATTATTTTCTAAAATATAACATTTTTCAGACATTTTAAACAATTGAAATAGTAAACTGATAAGTATTTGGAGAAAGATGGTATATTTTATTCATTTTGATATAAATTTGTTACAAACTAATAAGTAAAAGTTAGTTTTGAATGCTGGCAATAATGGTCATGTACCTTCTCATGACCAAATAAAGTGTTTTGCTCCTTCCAAAAAACCTGCCAGGGTCAAGCTTTTGAGGCATGGCGGCAGGAAATTTCTGCAGGCCCTCTTCTGTCACCAACATGTCATCCACGAAAATACCTGGCATGTCTACTATGTTAGGGTGAGGGGGTAGGCGGTTAACCCTTTGGCACCTGGAATATTAACCAGGCAGATTTTGTAAGCTGAAATTCATTAACATTCATTTAAAAAACAATTAATACTTAAATAAAACTTTTAGTCTTTAAATGATAAATTGTTATTATGAGTCAGTGAGACCTAACAGACAAATGAAACAAATAGGAAATATTTTTTTCGACACAGAACACATGGTCATGGTTCCACCTAATTAAAGATACCTATTAGGTAATAAGGAATTTCAATAAAATATTCGTCTAAATAAAAACAAGAATGAGTTTCTAAATAGTTTATATCAATTTTCTTAAAAGGGAATAGGATTTGCTAAAAAAATATAATTTTAGTAGCTGAGTTACTATATTTATAATTGACATATTTTCAATCTACGTTGTTCTATTTGAAGATAACCTAGTAGCTGAATATACTTTAACCTCTTACACTTCATTGTCAAAGTGAGCCGTGGACGAGCGTAGGGGTACAATCTCCCGCTCCAGTTCTCTGAGGATACTCTGAGAGTTAGACTCAGCTCCATAGTTGAAGACAGCTTTCACAGCCAGATCAAAGTCTGCATCAGATGTTTCTTTTACTATCTCAGAATCTGAAACATGCAAGTGTTGTGTTGGTTAGACTTGTATTAAAAAAGGCATATAAACAAATGCTATATTTGTTATAATTTGCTTTAATCTACACATTGTCTTTCTTTAGTTATTTAAGCAAAATGTTACTTTAAAGCATTTCTAATAATGTAAAAAAAAAATTGAAAAAAGGAAAAAAATTTTATCCTTCAACCTGTATATATAGACCTAGAGTGAAGTTCCACAACCGGTCACACATAGCGAACTCCCGACTTTCATCGGGCGCTATTTTGTAACCGTTTAACACAGAAACAAACCCAAAGTACTATATTATTCCTCTGCCTTTCTACTCTTAATAATGTATCAATCATTTTATATTCCTACGCATTGAATTTGAGATATTCATGTTTTAGTGATGTGCTACTTGCGATATTTTTTCCCCTCTTTTTTTTTCCCTGCGGCCATCTGAACCGGCTTGCGTAACGATCGTGTTTTATACGTTTTAATCCTAGTTTAATAAATAAAATAAATATTTTACACATAAACGTGTTGTTGATTGTATTATTAATTAATAGATTTCAAAACCAAATTAAAAACATGTTAATTAAATTAATTAACGACATTAAAAGTTGACCCAGTTGACTCAAGGGACGCAACTATAATAATCATAACAAAGGGACGTAACAACCACTGACAAGACATAACGTAACATTTGCTTAGATATGCTTGTATGTAGAGACACAAACTAGATTTAGAAGAAGTAGATGATCGAAATAATTTAAAACAGCAGAAAAAAATAGAAAGTATACAGATTCTAGGCTTAGCTTGAAATGTAGAGCATCTAGAACTAGGCTAGTCTAGCTCAAGTCGTTGGTTACACAGCGAGGTGAAACCACCCAAATCGACACCCAAGCTGCGGCCACCCCTATTCACCTATCAGGTTGCTTTATTAGCCTTATCTATCGTATGTACAGTGTCCCGCACATATTGTAGAAGCTATTTATAGTTAACCTAGTTATAAAAAGCTTTGATTGGTTGGTTTATTCATCTCATCCGGGACCTAGTGTTTTTCATATGGGGAACTAGAATCGCCTACGACGTCATACCTCGAAACTTTAAAATTAAAAAACTAGACTTCCAGAAGGAGAAAACCAAAAGAATTTGACCTGGATATATTTAGAAATGGACAGGTTTACAGCAGATATCGGTAGTTTCGTATAAAACATCAAAACAAATATTGTACGAAGCGATAAACAGGCGATGGCCGCACCGGTGTTTTAACCGCGCGTGGAACTTTACTCTAGTAGGTATTAATATTAAAATAAGTTTCAGGAATTTTTAAGACTAAAGCTGTAACACAGTCAGAACAAACATTTTCAGAAAAGGAAAAAGCATTTAAATTGAAAAATGCATAATTCAGCATTTATTGAGGCTAGATAACTGCATGAGTCAAAGGATATACCTGCACTATCTTTGACTTTTGCTTTGTAAACTGCTCCTTCACAACCATTAGCAATAGATTCCAAGTTGATATCAAGATCAGCTAAACAATTAGGTACTTTCTCCAAAGGTTCAGTCTGCCATGAGTAGCTTCTAAACATATCCTAGAAGAAGTGTACATATTTAAAATTATTTTTTATACTTTTGTTTTGGAATTCTAAGGCCCTGATATGGTTATCTAGTATCATACTTAATATGTGGCCTGACCTATTTAAAAGAGATTGTTTATATTATTGTTTTGAGTTTATATTTAACTCAATAGAACAAGCCATCCGGTTGGTTGAGGCCATGATGGGGGTTTGTTCTGCTAGGGATACAAAGGATTAACTCAAAATATTGACCATAAAAATACAAATAATATTTGTTATTTCTACTCTTTTTTGCTTTTGATGTCAGCAGTCAACCAAAATGCTGAGAAAGTGCAAGATTAATTGGAGAAAGGTGCCTAATAGTAACAGTCTAACAAATGAAGTTAATTATTTAGCTAGACCTAAGTCATGCTAAATACTAAAGTAACTAAATAAATAATATTATAATTTATAATTATTACTATTAGGCCTAATAATTAAAAAATATTCCGAGGAATACAGGAAATTATAGACCTAACGCCGCTTTTTTAATACTTGCCCGCATGTTAGCCATCATTTTCTCAGCAACTTTATCCATTACTCCTGAAACATCAAGTCCCAGTGTAACTCCAATAAGAGACATGATGGGAACATTGCGGAAATTGCGACCATTCTGAGTGAATAGCCTCAAAGCGGATTTTCTACGAAGCTCACTAGTGTAAGTGTTGTTTGCTGTTGTTCTCGAAAATAGAGAATGAAAAAGGCGAGTGCGAGGAGTGAAATTGCTTTTGATGGTATGAGTATGCAGAAATCGTGTTTTTGTGGCCTCAATTCGGGAGACATCGAACCTCTGAACATTGGGCTTTTTACGCAAAACTGCTGTCTGCAAAACATCTTTGACATAATTTTTCAGAGCTGAACCAAATCCCTTAAAGAAGGGAATATGTGCTCCAGCTGCTGCTTTAACGAATAACGGCATTTTGACTGCGGTGCAACAGTACTGTTAATATATCATGACAATGCAGAACTATTCTGCTTGTTGAATTCAACAGCGATTTCTAGATCTAGTACGCAGCTTAACATCCCGCAGACATTTTGTCAATAGACCAAAATAAAACCACGTGATCAATCTGACGTAATCAAGGACAGGTTGCCAGTTTTTCTACAAAAAATGCAAAAGTATGGAAAACATTGAGATTAAAGCAAAAGTAACGTTATAAATTTGATTTAAAAAATCCCCCTTCCGCCGTGTCCACACGCATCTACTTTGCCCCCCCCCCCCCGCCCACCCCTCTTGTGGAAGTCCACACCGATTTTATAATTGGTTAAACAATATAGATTTCTAGCCTACCAACTAAATTAGATAGATGTGTCATATGCGTGTAAGTTGCAACACTAAACATTTAGGTAGTCCACTGATCTATTATTTTCCGAAATGTTTGGTACTTAAAGTAGAAATTGCAAAGTGTTGAGTAAAATAATAGCATTAGTAAGCTTATATTTATCTATACCAGTGTTTTTTCCAGACTTTTTACTCCGGTGGGGGGGGGGGGGGGGGGTGGGATGGACACAGTTAAATGTGTATATTTTCTATATTAATTCCATTTCGTTCGGGGGCCGGTAGACTATCTTCGGGGGGGGGGGGGGATGGACACAGTTAAATGTGTATATTTTCTATATAAATTCCATTTCGTTCGGGGGCCGGTAGACTATCTTCGGGGGGGGGGGGGGGGGGGGGGTGAACTTCAACGACCACGTGTGCGTGACCAAGGCGAGCCAACCAGATGAAGACATCCGGCTGTGGTCAGGCATGGAGAGGGGTGGGCACCGCCATGCGACACATATCCCTAGACATACCACTCTGTGGTGCCCCAATGACCCAAATAGGGTTTAATGGATTATTTTATATTATGTACATATTTTATAAAGTCAATGCAACATGCTTTAGTTGAAACCTGACTGCCCACCTTTCATCATAGGTCAACAGCTCTCTCACTGTGAAAAGTGTCACAAGTTTGCTCTCGGGGGGTTGTGACTTACTGATAGAATCCATTTGAAAAAAAAATCATTATTATCATCTCAGGCTTTACTAGTCAGTCTCCACGCCTTAATTTGGACCAAGTTGTTTATTAGTACCTGTGTTTTACGAGTTGATATTTTTATTTTATTTCTTGCCCCTTCTCTTGACTGGAGTTTTGTAATTTGTCTAATGGTACATGCAACAGTAAACTCCGGTGATTTAAATTAAATACGTCTAATATGACTAGGCTATATGCTGCGCGTTGTTGGTGGGGACTATCAGCCAGTCAAATTCCCCAGATACCATGAAGGCAAATGCTATACAATCTTCTGAATTTTTAAGATTTAGGCCTATTTATATAACAAAAAATTTCCCCTAAAAGAGGTCATTACTAAACAAAACTGTATTTACAGCATGTTCATGCTGCAATGTGAACTTTTTAAAGTTGTTAGTTCTTTTAATAAATATTGTTTAAAAAGCAGCTTTCTTTCTATCCGTACAAATTTAGGACATATAATCTAGTCCTTTTTTGCAAACTGCTAATCTTGCAATTTCATATTATCTAGCTTTCTATTTTCTAGCATAAAATATTAAAAGTTTGGCATTTAAATATTAAACTGGTCACTCTATAAAACAAACACTGTACATCTGGCAATATATGTTTTTCAAGGGAGAGCACTGTAGATTGTAAAGCTGTCGTTGCTAGGAAAAATAAATAAACAAACAAGCAAAATCGGGAATTCTCTTTTGAAATTCTTTTACTCAATAAACCCTCGCGGTTACCTGTTGAGTTATATTAATATATTTTACCCTGTTTTACGGTAAAGAATTAAAAAAATACTATTCTAACACTAATATTAAGTTTAAGATAATAACTTCCACTACATTAAAAAAAACAATTGTCAATTCTGAATCTTACTTAATTTAATAATTTTCTTAGCTGAGATTAAGAATTTATTTTGTTGTTAAGTTAGTCATAGTTTATTAATAAACTCTTAGTCTTAGTCTGTTTGGCAAATTTTGATAACTTCAATTCTAAATAGTAAATACTAAATAACAAATAATGCTTCTCAGTGTCTTGATAAAGTGTGAATTGCTAAAAGCAAATGAAAATGCGAGGCGATAAAATGCGAGAAGAAAATGCAAGTATTGTGTGTAAATAGTGAGACACATTTTGTTAGACATTTTTTGTTTTACTTTTTAATTTATGCTGGTCTTGGTTGTTTTAGACTTAAGTGAGATTTTTTTAGGAAAGTGTTGTTTTTTTCAAATAATTATCTCTTCTTTTATGTGTGGAAAAATTGTAAAACTCTGTAAATTCTCTAGATAGGCTCTTATTTATTTCTGACCACGTGCTCATATTTTCTTGTCAGTGGGGAAAAAAACACAACTCAGTAGAGGGGCACTGTGAAATCACAATAGTTTAGATATCACAAAGCATGGGCATGAGCAACATGTCATCTATTTGAGATTGTTGATATTTTTCCCCAAACAATGCAATAAAATTTTTTTACTTGGGATCATTGTGTGTTGTGAAGTCATTTGAATCAGGGTACGTTATAATTTTTGAAGAAATATCACATTTTACCCCTATGCAACCTACCAATTAGATGTGAGACAAAAATGTTATGTAACAGACAGTTTTTGCACCCTTCTCGCATTTTACCGCCTCGCTATTTTGTGTTTCACTTCTCTCATTTTAGTACGACCCATCTGTTCCTATTAAAATTTAACAGGTAATTTTTTTTTTGCATAGGTGGTGCACCAAGAATCCTGATTTAACAAATAAAAAATTCAAAATGTCTGGATTGAGTAATCTTCAGAGTATTTACAACAACAGTCTCAAATCGTTATCTGTAAGCAGTAGTCTAGTGTATTACTTTAATTTTTTAAGTTCTTATCAAGTTGTAGTAAATTACCCTTTCAAACCTTACGTTCTGTGGGCTTGGAGAAGTAGAGTTTACCTGCTTCAGTGACCTCGGTACATGTAGGGATAGTGTGGTCATCACTATGCCCAGCCACCTTTACTTTCCCTAACATGAGTCAGGTACTTATCAGAGCTGGGTGGACTCAAGGAAATCCTATAGACTTGAGCCCAGGATCCAAACTCAAGACTTTCTGATTAGCAGTCTAATGCTCTACCATACAATTACTTATCAATCACTTCTTGAAAATTTGTTATATCCTGTTATTTGTACAGTATAGCAGTTATATTTATAATGTCAGGTTGAGTTTAGTTATGACTAGGGTTAATGTGTTTAAGATACTTCCCATTTGCATACATAAGTGGATATGATTCATATTCTAATTAACTGACGTTTAAGAAAACCATCTACTGAACCACTTAACTTATATTTTGAGTTAGATAAAGGTAAATTACTATAAATGTTTCAGTGTTGTGGAAAAAACTTTCTGCTTGATGAGTAGTATCCTATTTATGGTTAGGGCCAGTAAAGCAATACTAACATCAATGGACTAATAAAAATTAATTGAATTTGGTTAAGTATGACAAGTTTTTGTGTTATATATATACATATATATATACATATATACATACATATATATATATATATATATATATATATATATATATATATATATATATATATATATATATATATATATATATATATATATATATATATATATATATATATATATATATATATATACACACACACACACATATATGTACATATATATTGCATATATTTTATTCATATATTTATAGCGCAACACTGGCAGAATAATAAAAGATGTAAAGAAAGATGATGAGCTTACAGCCAGAAAAAATGGCATTCCTACTGAAGATAAAGGATTTAGTCCTCCAAATTTTCCCATTACCCGAAACATGTTTATATTATCTGTCTTATTCTGGACAACCATTGCAATGCTAGTATACTTATGTATTAGTTATGGCACATTGTATACAAGAATTACTCAGGAGGATGATTTACACAAACTGTGTGAGAATAAATTTGGGACACGGGAAGAAAATTTTAAAATTGTAAGTAATACCATTCTGAGAATCTAATACTATAAGTATCTTCTTTTGCCATGTTAGTGTAAGGTAAAGTTGCTTTTTCAGTTTGGATGTTGTGTAAATGCTCTTAAATAATGACGTTATTACAGATAGAAGATTACCCTTTAGGTGATGCTGGACCCTATTTGAACCGGCTACGACCAACAAAAAAGGATGACCACAAGATGGAATCCAAAGAGCTACCACCCATTGTTACTGCCATTGCTTCAAACCAATTTTATCAGGTTAGGAGTATTACTGCAATAGCATTTATGAAACACTTAAAAAATAGGTTACAAAAATACTAAAATGTTAAAAAAGTACTTGGTGTAACCCCACAATTCAAGAACCAAAAACTTCTGTGAAAGCATTTTTATATTTGATTTATGGTTAACTGTAAACTAAAATGACACAACATAGGTTGTCACAGATGAATCAAAATTAAAATATCTATATTATTTATTTATAAGAATTTTAGTCCACAAATGCTGTTAGTTTGGTGCTTCTGTATAAATTTTAGTGATTATATTATTAGTTGAACATAGATGGTTCAGATTACATTATTACTTCATTAACAGTTTTTAAGTTCTGTGACCAATATAAACAGGGTGTTTTTTTTAAATTTAGTTTCAAGGTCTGGTAAAGCACCTAACAGAAGAAGTTCAGACAGCACATTCTGATATGAAGTTTATAGTCTATGATCTTGGCCTTTACAAGACAGAAAGAGAAATAGTAAGTACTAAGAATCACATTACAGTTAACCAAGCTTATTTAGATACTCAGTTATAATTGTAAAATAAGCTAAAATCCTCCTGTATAATAAATATAAATGCTGTTAGTTTGGTTCTAAACCTATGTATAATATTTTTGCGATTATAGTATTTGTTGAACATAGATGGTTCAGATAAAGTTCATTTTTATTTTTCATTTTCAAATACATAATGGAACATAATCGCAGACACTACTCATTTTAGTCAGTGTATTCTTCAAATAACAGCATGACCTGTATGGTTACTTTACTTTTCAATTAGTGGGTGAAAATACGACACATATATTGACTCTATATTCCTTTTGAATGCTGTGGATACAAAAAAAAAACAAGATACCATACAATACTTTGTCAGCCATAGGTTAGGCCTGAAGAAACTGATTGATACTAAATATGTACTAATTCTCTATAATAAATGATTTCAGGTTGAAAAATACTGTAACTGTCAGGTGAGAGACTTCAGATTTAGTGAGTACCCATACCATGTTGCAGATACTTCCAACTTCTCATGGAGGCCTATACTTCTACAGCTCCTGCTTCAAGAATTTGGATCTGTTGTGTATATTGAACCAACAACGCGCTTCAAGAAGTCAACATCCCCTAACTTTCTTCGCAATCGAGGCTCAAAGAACTACTTTCTGTGGGACCCACCCATTGTGATGTCTCTTATTGGATATACAGATAAAGCCATGTTTGAATTCTTTAAAGAAGACAGGTGTCTTTTTAAAGAAGGCAGCATTCTTAGTTCTGAAGCAGTAGTGCTCTACAGGACTGAAGTCACTTGGAATGAACTTATGAAGCCATGGTTAAAATGTGCTCTTAATGCTGAATGTATTTCACCAGAAGGGGCTTTGTTTTCTGGATGCTTTGAAATTCGTCACCCTCGAACAACTGGATGTCATAGATACGACATGTCTGCTGCTAGCATAATACTCAACAGAGGTGTTCAATATACCATTGAGAGAGAAAAAATGGTTTCCTTCAGACTGACTTACTCAAATGATGAGGAAATTAAATATTTCCCAGAACAACCATGGACATATCGGCAAATTATTTTACTGATTATAACACCTGTAGCTTTGATAATCATGTATAAACGTTTTTTCAGGAGAAGATTGTGTAGATTGTAGGGATCTATCATTTTAATTCAGCACTGCCTTTGTACATTTGCAATATTTATATACAAATGTGACACAACTATTTTATCGCTCAAGTTGTATTTATTTTCATTAAGGGTCAGTTTTCATTTTGATGTACACTTAATTTTCTGAAATATTTGCTTCATTAGCCTACTTAATAGTAAATACCGTCTTCCAGGATTGGCTTAGCATAATTTCAACTACTTAATGCTTGCTGTGTAAGTTATTTTTTAAAATAAATTGTGCAAATTTAAGTAATTTCTTTTAAAAAAAAAATTATTTGTACTTGCTTGTGACATTTTAAACTAAGTAAATTTTAATTTGTGGAAAACAATTTCAGCTCCACAACACTAGGAAAGTTAAGGTAGCAGTCACTGGTAACAAAAACCAATTAAACATTTATCTACCATTAAATGACATTTCAGTTTGAAAGAAATTTGAAATACAGCCCCCCCCCCCATTTTAAAAAATCAATATGCCATGGAAAATACAACAAAAGAAAACAGGACAAAAAGTTACACTCCATATTTATTGAAAATACTGAACAACAAAATTTTTTTTTTGCAAACTTTTTGAACAAGTGAACCAGTAAAATTTACTAGTCACAATATTTATGTACTACTTGGTACTGTAAACTAACTAGACAATTCAGGAATTTATAATTAAAAGATTGCAGAAAGTGAGATTGTAGGTGGCATAAAAAAATTCCTGTGAAATGAACCAGCAGTCCAGATACAGGGAAAATTTATCAGATTATTGGAATTAAGTGGGTCAATTAGCTCGGGATTGTATAGCCTCAAATGTATTACATTGTGCTGCAGCCATTCATACATCTAAAAATGTACACTGATAAATTATTCTAGCGTCATTTATGACAGACACTCATATATGCACAGCTACATAAAGTATTTTAAGGAAAAAAGCATGAAAAATTAGATCTTCACATTAAAGATAATCTCCCATGTTTGATGATGACAAAGCTGAAACAGCTTACAAATTGTACACCAATGACATGAATCCTAAAGTAAGAAATTTTTAACCAGCGTTTTTAGTGTTCAGCTGACATACCTAAACTTGGGGAAATTAGTTTTCTAGTGCTAATGATTAATTTATTGGTTGTCGACCTTGAACATGTGCTGGATAAGCTCAACTACACGGTTGCTGTAGCCATACTCATTATCATACCTAGAAATTGAAAGAAAGAAAAAGTTCAAGCAAATATGTACATATACACTGAGATAAATATGAGACTGCACAAAATTAAAATCCTCAAGTCTTGTTCAGCTTGGGTTCAAATGGGTAACTTGTCTAGGGTAAAGCAAAAGTTGCACCTATATAACACAAGTTGGCTTCATCTGCCCACATGTTTAAGAGTTCTAAATATGTGTTAAGAATATAACATATATAATATATTACAGTAATAATATATTACAGTATTTTCACAAAATACAATTAATGACAAGAAATCTAAAACTTATAAATAGGTTAATACCTTTTAACAAACATAGTATTTAATACAAGATAAAATATAAGTTTAATATACTAACCATGACACCAGTTTAACAAAGTTATTATTCAAGGCAATGCCAGCCCTGGCATCAAAAATAGAGCTTCTGTCATCTCCCAAGAAGTCCTGGGACACAACCTCGTCATCAGTATAACCCAGGATGCCCTTCAGGGGTCCTTCAGATGCAGCCTTGATAGCTTTTTTAATATCGTCATAGGATGCCTACAAACAAGTAATAGTGTTATGCATCAACAATTTTCACACAAGTGAGAGTTGAACAATCCAGTGAAATAAAAAATATTACAACAAAACCTACCCCTCTTTCAAGTCTGCATGTAAGATCAACAACTGATACATCAGGAACAGGGACTCTAAAAGCCATTCCAGTCAGTTTTCTGAAAGAGGAAATAACAGTTACAAATCTGTTCATGAAATTTCTAAAGGGTTGCTGAGCATTAGAATTGTGTAACAAAAAATCCAGCAGCTTACCCATCTACAGAGGGAATAACTTTTGCAACAGCTTTGGCTGCTCCAGTTGAAGATGGGATGATGTTCTGGAAAGCACCACGTCCACCACGCCAGTCCTAATAAAAAAAATATTAAATATTAAAAAACCACTGAAAACAAAAGCACTTTATTGGTTAGAATGGGGGTAGGGGCAGAGGTAAAAAAACAAACAACCAAATCAACTGTTTACTTCAACCAAGATAAATTACCTTGTTACTGGGCCCATCAACAGTTTTTTGTGTGGCTGTAACAGCATGCACGGTTGTCATAAGTCCCTCAACAATTCCAAAATTATCATTGATAACTTTGACAAGAGGTGCCAAACAGTTAGTTGTGCAAGAAGCATTGCTGACAACAGCCATATCCTTAGTGTATTTATCTTCATTGACACCCATAACAAACATGGGTGCATCTGCAGATGGAGCAGAAATCACAACTTTTGATGCCCCACCACTCTTGATATGAACCTAAAATTTAGATAAAAACAGGTTATGATATTTTCTGACAAAAACTTCCAATTAACTAGTTGGCATGACAATACAATACTAATAGTGATACTAGAAAAAAATAATTCCTGCAAATGCTTTTAACAGCAATGAATAGTAGAAAAAAATAATCCCATTTTCAACTATACAAGATAAATATCAATATAATTTTAATAACTTACAAGTGCCTTGTCAGTTGTAGTGAAAACACCTGTTGACTCAACAACATAGTCAGCACCTGCAGATTTCCAGTTAATGGCCCCTGGATCACGCCTAAATTTGAATTAATTTAAAAAAATAATTTGATGGGAACTGTAATGGAAGAAATATAAACAATAGGATGCAAGGTCATGCCATACTGTGCACAACAGCTAGCCTGAAAGTCCAGTTTGGATCTTGGATTATATTCAATAGGAGTTCACCCAGCTGATTCGTACTGAGACTTGTGTTAGGGAAAGTAAAGGCCGGGTAAAGGTCACAAAAAACAGATGCACTCTACTACATTCGCCCTGTGGGCTGACAATTTTGAAATAATAGCTTATTACAGTTAACACTCTTAATCCTTGGGTTATAATAAAGTAATGTCATACTCTGCAAAAACAGTGATGAGTTGTCCATCAATCTCCAACTTTCCATCTTTCTGTGAAACAGATCCCTTAAATTTACCATGTGTAGAATCATACTGAAACATGTAAACCTGAAAAGAAAAAAATTGAGCAGTGAGTTTTGCTCCACTGAAAAAGTATTAAATTGCAGTGAAATAAAGCAAGCTTCATTTCATTCAATTTTCAAAAAGGTAATTTTAGCTCTAAGTCAACAGTAATGCATACCATGTAATCAAGACCAATAAAGGGATCATTGACTGCTACAACTTTAACTCCCTTTTGAAGAGCACATCTTAGTGTGAGACGTCCGATGCGTCCAAATCTAAAAACAAATTAAAACTTAATTGCCTTGATCACCCAGAAATGTGACGACTGAAAGAGGGAGCTTAAGAAATGTGAAATAGTATGTTGCATTTCTTAAAATTGAAAGAAAGCATTCAATCTTAAATAAAACAAGGCAGGCTACTTACCCATTGATTCCAACTTTAAGTTCAGGCATGTTGGTCAAATTTTAATGATTTCTGCAAACAAAGTTTAAATTTTAAATGTAGACCTAAGTTTTAAAAAAAATTCAGTTAAAATTTCTGAATGTCAAAAGGCAACACTGTCTTCTGGCCATGAATATAAGTAACTGGTGTGTGTAGACTAGTCTCTATTTTCCTGTGTGAAGACTAGATCTAGACTCTATTCTCTACTAAATAGGTGACTTAATCAGAATGGATTCACCTTTCTTTGGACTTACTAGATTCTCTATATCTAGATTTCTAGATCTAGATCTACTAAAAAAATGTTTAATTTCAAACCCAAAAGTTAGTTAAACAAACCCATCTAAAATTCTAAATTAATTAAAATTATCTAGATTCTAGAAAAAAGAATCTAAATAGATCTAGATCTACTGCATTATCTAAACTCAAGTCACTAGATCTAGATCTAGATGACTAGAGTAGAGTCTAGATTCTACTTCTAGTTGGTAACTGGAACAAATTTGAAATTCATTTTATGATTTATGAGATGAGATAAGAAGCTACTCTACAAATCCATGTTTAAATGAGGTACAATCTGTCTGGTAAAGTAATCAACTAACTAGATTAGATCTAGATGCTATAGATCTAGTCTAGAATCTAGATCTATACTTAAAAAAAATCTAGATTCTAGATCTATACCATTACCAAGAGTAAAAATCAGAAAACCTTCACCTTGGGTCTTCTGATATTTAGGAGAACTACGACCTTGACATACACCGGTACGATAAATGAAAGACATTTATATTTATTCAGAATACAGTATCTTGTAGTCAAATTCAAAATATTAGATGTATTACTTTAAAGCTGAAACCAAATAACTAAACTAAACATTCTAGATTATAATCACGGTCAGTAATTTATAAGACTTTGATCCATTTTGGCAGATGAGATTTCGCTTGTTCAGGACTAAGACCTAAGAAACTAACAGTACAGTCTAACACCAATCAATTGAATTTGATAAGAAAGTCTGGTTACTTTGTAAATGATGCTGCATCATATGCATTGAAAAAATGTCTCAGTTAATTATTTTACTTTGCATAATTATTTAAATTAGAATAATGATTAATAAATTACAACAATGTAAGAGCGCTTACCTAAGAGTACCGGTTAAGAATGATAGCTTAGTGCGAGAGAATTAACTGGTGTGTACTACGCATGTCTAAACTTTTAATGACGTCTTTTTCGGAAGAAAGCGGATTATGCCGATTGAAATCAACATTGAAACCAAGCTTTTTTTTTTTACTACAAAGGTTATGAAAAAAAATTAATTTGATATTATTTTAAAATGATGATTTTAATGTAAAAATATATAGATAACCCAAATTATAACTATTACTTTCTACAAAGGGTAAGGATTGAACTTAGAGAGGTCATGTTGAGGTTACGACCCTCAGATTCAGAGCAATGTCAAGGTTTGCGAGTTAGAAATAAATTGCTGATTCAGATGTGCTTTTTAAAAATATATTTAATAATATTTTAAAATAGTTAAATTTTCCATTATTATCAGTTCGCTTTAATACATTTTAATCTCAACTGAAGCTTTCACGATTAATCCCACATCGTAGACAAAGGCAGTTGCATCCCTTATGATTACCTCCTCCCCTCCCACCCATTTTTATAATCGTAATATAATATTTTATAAGCGTACCATAACTTATTGTACCAAACAGTGACATAAATTTTACAATAGAGAGACGTTAAGTATGTTCCTTTTGAAACCTAGGTGTATGCTTATCAAGTAGGCCTAGTCTATAGCCCCTTCCCCCCAGGAGCATAACAATAGCCTAACTGAGAAGTAGACAGAATATATAATTTATATAGAAAAAAATCGGGCCTACTTAAACCAGTGTCCGCCCCCCCCCCCCCCCACCCTTGAGATTTTAAAATGTGCTCCTCACCTGCCTCCGGGGAAAAAATATCTGAAACCCTGTGTATAATAACCTCTATAACGGGCCAACGTTGTTTTGTTTCTAGAAGATATAATAGTGACGTAGCCAGAAATAAGTTTTAAAACTTTATGTTAAGTTTAAATTGTTAAAGTATACCTAAACCCTCTGTTATAATACATTAGATAGATCTAGCTAGTATGTCTACTTTAAAAAATAATAATAAAGTGGAACTAGAAAAGATTGCAGGAAAAACAAGTTAATAAAAAGTCTAGTGACAATTTAAGCGCAATTTCCTTATGTTATCCATAACAATTTTAAATCGAGATAAATCATATATTCAGCAAATAAATAATGTAACACAGGTAGTTTCAATAATTCAAAACAAAATAGAAAAAAATTCATAAAAAACGTTTTAATAACAAGCTTTTATGTACTAATGCACTAAAAAGTAGAAAATAAATTATACACTACTATTTAAATTACTATAAAGAAAAGCGTGGGTCACTTTAGTACCTATTGGATACCTTTACTAATATTTGAGAAGAGACCCACGCTTTTCTTTATAGTAATTTAAATAGTAGTGTATAATTTATTTTCTACTTTTTAGTGCATTAGTACATAAAAGCTTGTCATTAAAACGTTTTTTTATGAATTTTTTTTTCAGTACTTTACATGTTTTATTTACAATAGTGTTACATGACTAAAAACCATTGCGCGTCTATTGAACGTGATGGCGCAGCTATTGAACCTGATGGCGCAGCTATTGAACGTGATGACGCGTGTGGTGTGGTTGGATAGACATGCCTACTAATTCGGTCCAAATTTTAATTAATTAATAAAAAATTAATTAGGCATCCAATTAAGTAAAATTTAGTTTCAGATTGCATTGTCTTCATGTCTTGACCCACGGGCCAACTGTGAATCGTATCGGTCAAGTAGAAGTTTCCGAATTTTCACTCCTGCGTTTCGATCTAGTAGACTGACGACAGACAGAGGAAGTGAGTTAAATAAAAGCTTATAAAAATCCTTTCGAACCTCCGCTCATTCGCTATGGTAAAATCCTTTCGAACCTCAGCGCTTTGCGCTAAATCATCCTAGGCCTACACGATGCTCAGATTAAAAATTCTTAATTAATTTTTTGTGACCAAACGAAAGGATATTTTTGAAAACTTTCTTCGGCAATATTGTTCTAAATTATGGCAGGAATCGATTGGTAAATGTTTCAAGTCGCTAAGTGGTCTGGTTGCCGAGATATGGGCAAAAAACTGCATTTTTTTTTCGAGGTTTTTTGGCTTTTCCGAGAAATCCAGGAAGGAATTCCTGGAATTTTTTTTTGGCCTATGTTCATCCTCGGAACTTGCTTAACTTATTTGCTTTTGGAACTAGTCCTCGATATAGCTTCGTTGAGGAGGAGATACGACTTAAAGACGACTTAAAGCTGCGGACACACATCCATCCATACATCCATCCATCCATTCATACATTCCCAGAAATGACGAGTTAATAATCGCAATTCTCCAGAATGGAAATTGCGCTAAAAAGTCACTGGAAAAAAAAACAGAAAAAAAAACAAAAAAAGTCACAGGAAAAAAAGTCACAAATAAATATTTGCATGGAACTTGTTAATACTTTTATGAATTATATATTCAGAGAGTGCAAATTAACTTAGGATTAATTAAATGTAATGTAATGTGTGTAGGTTTTATACGCATTGTAATTTTTATAATTCATCTAAAAATATTTAGTATGAAGTAGAATCTATGTAGATAGTAATTATGTTATTGTTAAACACAATATTAATAGTTAATAGCATTTAATAAAATGTTCCAACCTCATCGGTTTTCATCGTGTATTTTTTTACTACTAACATTAAATTTTCGTGAAATGGTAAGTTCATCTGACTTGCTGCCAACACTCATCGCAACAATAGTTATGATTAGTTCAACAAAACAGAAAGCCGACAAGGTTCAAAGGCTGTCATTTTTTTCCTAATAAAAACTGTGACTTTTTTCCCGTTCACCCTAGAAAATGCACTGCTGGTTTGATTTTGCCATTTTCTGACCGTAGGTAAACTTCCGACTATCGAAATGAAACAAGATCGAGCCTGCCGTGCAAACTAAACTGATCTCAAATCTCAGACTAGAGATCTTGATCTAGGATCTAGATCTAGAGTAGAGCAAGATCTAGAGTAGATTTCCTCACGCGGTCAAAGCCATATTGCGATCACATTCCCGTTTTCGCTTCGTAAAATAATTGTTTGGATGCTTTATACGAAACTACCGGTATCTGCTGTAAGCATGTCCATTTCTAAATATATCCAGGTCAAATTCTTTTGTTTTCTCCTTCTGGAAGACAAGTTTTTAAATTTTTAAGTTGAGGTATGACGTCAACCGGTGATCCCAGTTCCCCCGGATGAAAGCACTAGGTCCGGGATGAGATGAATAAAACTAACCAATCAAAGCTGTTTATAATTAGGTTAACTATAAATAGCTTCTACATATGTGTGGGACACTGTAAATACTATAGCTAAGGCTACTAAAGCAACCTGAGAGGTCAAATGGGGGTGATCGCAGCTGGGCTGACGATTCGGGTCGTTTTCCTCGCTGCGTAACCAATGACTTGAGCTAGACTAGCCTAGATCTAGATGCTCTATATTTCAAGCTAAGTCTAGAATATGTATAGTTTATACATTATTCTGTGGTTTTAAATTATTTCGATCATCTACTTCTTCTAGAACTAGTTTGTGTCTCCATATACAAGCATATCTAAGCAAATGTTAGGTTTTGTCTTGTTAGTAATTGTTACGTCCCTTTGTTATGATTATTAAAATTGCGTCCCTTGAGTTATCACTGGGTCATCCGTGATGTGTTGTTAATAAATTTAATTAAAGTGTTTTTTATTTGGTTTTGCAGTCTATTAATTAATAATACAATCAACAACACGTTTAAAAGTGTAAATTATTTATTTTAGCTTTTAAAATTGGATCAAAACGTAAAAAACTACGCTTGTTACGCAACAGGAAAATGTGACCGCCGGCAAGAAAAAAAAGGGGGAAAAAAGATCGCAAGCAGGCAGGTCACTAAAACTTGAATATCTCAAATACTATGCGTAGGAATACAAAATGATTTATAAATATTAGAGTAGAATGGCAGCGGAATAACACGGTACTTTCAGTTTGTTTCTGTGTGAAACGGGTACAAAATAGCGCCCGATGAAAATCGGGAGTTCGGATTTTTTTGCTATGTGTGACCGCGTTAGGAAATCTACTCTAGTCTAGTCTAGATCTAGATAGCTTTCCCTTACTTTCAGTATGTAGATTTAGATGTAGCTCTAGTTGATTAGTTTAGATTTTAGATCATCTAGTAATAATCTAGAGCAGGGGTCTCCAAACTTTTAACTTTTCATTTCGAGGGCCGCATTAACTGCCTTTATCATTATATTAATGATTAACTACTACTTCTCTAGGATCTAGATCTAGAATTAGATCTAGATCTAGATCTAGATCTAGATCTATAAAATTTCAGTTCGGAGGCCAGTTTCTTCCAGGCATGTCTTTGATTTTTCTGGGCAAAGTTCCTCAGCCATCACCAACAAACGTTGAATTCCGTGGACAAAAAGATCTCTGCGGGCCGGATGAGAGGACCTCGTGGGCCGCAGTTTGGAGACCCCTGATCTAGAGACTAGAATTGTACACGGTTGTGTTTATAATACGCTCAACCGGAGGTGAACGGGGGAAAAAAAAAGGCGAATAAAATACGCTAAATAGTACCTGAATAAAATGGAGTGCCCTAGATTCTATCTAGATCTAGATCTAGATTACTATTAGTTAAGGCTTAGTTACTAGTTAGGGTATACCGAGGTTAGATCAGCCCATCTAGATCTAGAATCTTGTAGTACTAGATTGTAGATCTAGTACGTAGTAAATTAAAATTAAGTTAAGAATAAGTATAAGTATTTTTAAGAGTGTGTGTGTAAATATAAATAATATTTAAGCGGGAGTGATCTCCCCTACACTTTCTCGAATATATATATTATATATAACACTGGCAACTTAGGATATAGACATGATTTTTAATCTATTTTTAATTAGGCTACTTCAACTTTTTAATTATAATCGAATAGAATCTCATAGAAAAAAGAATAGCAAACAATGTGCAAATCATTATTACTTTATCATATGCGTTTTTTTAGAAATTGCAAAAAGCTTAAAATACTACTTCTAGTCAACAGAAAATTCAAATTATTCAAAATTTGACGGAAGGCAGAGAATTAGGTCTTTTACTAGATCTCTAGTATGTGAATTTTTGTGTATCTTAGGCTAACATTGATTCTTAGGCTAGGTTTCTCGCTAAATAAAAAATGTACTCAATTTTCAATGTAAACATGACCACTACATAATATAGTTACATCCATACTTAATCCATTAGGCATTAATTTTGAGGTTTTTAGTTCGTTTGAAATTAAATTTCTTTATTACTTAAAGTATTGTCACTCACAGCTATCGCACAACACACCCTTCCATAACAACCCATGTTATATCACTCTTACGTTTGAGGCCAAGCAATCCACAAATTTGTTCGACTTTTTAATTGGCTATGCACCAGAGTTCCTCACTAGTGATAAACCAAATAGGTGTCACTTGGTTTTTAAAAAATAAAAATAAATTGGTTGTGGTGTGAGAGCCGGTCATAAAAAAAGTGCTCCAATAGGCCTGTTTGATTTCTTTTTTAATAGACTGATAAAACTAATAGTGCTTTACTTAATCGCTCACTTTTGTACCTACATCGTTGATATTTTAAAAGTGCTGTTAATTTTAATTAAACCAACTTTTGAATTTAGCCTCCATTTTTCAAACCAAATTTTAAAATCCTTTTCTGGCATATATCCCAGCCATCTATGGTTTGTTTTCAAAACAGGAAAATCCCTGCCATTTTGCTCATGGTAAACATTTTAAACAGTAATTCTAAGAAGGTCACTGGAACTAAGATGAAAAGTTGTCGGAAAGCATGCATTCGGTATGGACGTCATATTGTTGTTAGGAACAGGCCACGCCTCCAGGTTAGCGAGCAGTACTAATCTATCTGAAATAGTACTCAAGTTACAGGCTTTTGAAAATCCAAAAGTAGAATAAGTACCACTTCCGGTTAGCGGAAATCACTGAAAGGTTGACACAGAACTACAGATTTGATATAATACTTATATAAGAAGTTTCATTGGCCTAGCTGTAACGGTACTCAAATTATCGTGTTCACAGACATACACACACACATACGTACACACACACACAGACATACGAACAAAGTTGCAAAACTAAGTTTTTCCGACTCAGGGAGATGTAAAACTGATTTGTGAAAATCTTGATTTTGATTTTTTTGCACGATTATAATACTTCCTCTATACTTCATATACGAGAAAGTAAAAAATAGTTAACATTGCTAACATTTTAAAAGTTATCTTCCTTTGGTCTAGATTCTAGATGTATAGTCTATAGCATTAAATCTACATGACAAGTCTTTTACAGTCTTACTTTTTACTCTTTGGTACTGTTGTATTGATAAAACTTTTTGAAAAAAAAATGATATGCCTAACTAAAATATTAGTAAATAGATTACTTTTAAAAAATGTATTTTCATTGTACATTTTTTCTGGTCTACAGAATGCAGGCTCAAGACAGTTAACTGGAATTTTTAGTATAGGGATGCTGTTGTAATAATATTCTTAAAACAGTCAAGTGTAACACCTATACATTATTATGGATCATATGGAATTCAGCATTGCTTTGCCATCTCATGTTGAGTTCACCAAAGCGGGGATGGAGTGGAAACATATGAAACAAAGATTACATGCACACATTAATCACAGCTCTGATGTACATCACCAGCAAATTCAAGGTTTGGTGCAAGCATTTTTAATCAACATAGCTGCAGAGCAAGTGCAGGAGGTGTTTAACATGTTTGGACTGTCATATGAAGAGGCAATTAAGTTTAATCTCATTTTACAACAGTTAGAGGACGTTTGCTTGCCACGTTTCCTTATAATTTACAACAGGTACAAGTTTTTCACCTGTAAGCAGACTTGCAATGGTAAATTCAATGATTTTCTTAAAAATTTGGTCAAATGGTCTGAAAATTGTGAATTTGGTGATTTAAAGGACATTCTAATGAAGGATTGTATAATAACAGGCATCTCAGATAATGCTGTGCGCCAGTGTCTTATGGAGACAGAGGAGTTGAGTTTTTTCAAGTCGTTGGAAATTTGCAGAGGTGTGGAGCAGAGCCAGAAGATGAAAAATATTTCCGTGGCAACTGAGGGTACAGTGTGCGTAGACGCCAGCAGTAACACAGAGTCTCAGCATGTAGAGGTTCCATGTTTTAAGTCTTACAACGACATAAGCACCAACACCACAGTTGATTTTACAAGTGATGTAGAAAAAGATCATCAGAACGTTTCAGAATTAAATGTGTTTCAGGAGCTAGAGGAAAATAAACTACAGAACCAAGCAATACAAACTGAATTAAAGAGTAATGTTTCCACTTTGGCCAGGAGTGAAAAAGATGTAGAGGAAAAAAAGTTGACAAAGCCAAGAAGGTCCAAACGCTGCAGCCGTACTCATAAAAGTACAATGTCATTTCTTTGTGATAACTGTGATAAACGTTTTCCAGATCAATTATCAATGAAGCTGCATTTATGTTCTAAAGATGAGCAGAAGAAGCAGACTGTTAACTTAAAATGTCGAGTTTGTAAACTGGTTGTGACAGACAGGAGTGCTTTAATAAAGCACAGGTTAGTCCATAAAGGTGAGAAAAGATTTAAATGTGAAACTTGTTCAGCTAATTTTAGCAACGCCTCCCACTTAAAAGTTCATATAAGGCTCCATACAGGGGAACGTCCTTTTACTTGTGATACCTGTGGGGCATCATTTCCTGAATCCTCTAAGCTGAAGTCGCACTTGCGCAAACACACTGGAGAGAGACCGTTTACGTGTGAAGTTTGTCAGAGAAAATTTGCTTGGACAGCAGCTTATACTAGACATTTACGTACACATACTGGTGAAAAACCATACACTTGTGAGTTCTGTGGGGGGAACTTTGCAGATTTTACATCACTTCAGCGCCACAGGCGAACTCACACAAAAGAGAAACCATATTCCTGTGATACTTGCCAAGCAAAGTTCACTGACCCTTCTGCTTTGAAGTTGCATAAAAGAGGTCACACAGGCGAGAGGCCGTACACTTGTCAGAAATGTAAATCTTCATTTGTACGGTCTCAACACTTGAAAGAGCACATGAAACTACATACAGGAGAAAAACCTTACGAGTGTAAAACCTGTGGTGCCAAGTTTGTCGAAGCATCAAAACTGAAAAGCCACATTCGCAGACACACTGGTGAAAAACCATATTTATGTAAAATTTGTGGCACCAGTTTTGCTTGGACGGCGGCTTACACTAGGCACATGAGGACACACACTCGGGACAAGCCGTACTTTTGTGATTATTGTGGATCACGATTTGCCGACCATTCCACTCTCACTCGTCACACAAGGACTCACACGGGAGAAAGGCCTTACGTCTGCAAGGATTGTGGATCCAATTTTGCGGATAATTCTTCTTTAAACAGGCACATGAGGATTCACACGGGTGAGAAATCCTATGTTTGTGAAGTTTGTGGATCATCGTTTGCAGTTAAATCCTACCTTGTTAGACACATGCGTACCCATACTGGAGAGAAACCATATCACTGTGATACTTGCGGGTCAAAGTTCACTGATTCATCTAAACTTAGCCGGCATAAGAAAATTCATTCAAAATCTGCTGTGAAACAAACTGTTGTTGAAAATCAGGAATGTGAAGAACAGGAGGAGCAGTTTGCCCAGCTACAACCTTTACATCTGGTACCTCAAGACTCAGATCCTCTGCAGCTTCACCACCAGCACCTCCTTGACTCCCACCCAGCTGAACAGACACCAGAAGAGCAGCACCCCATGACCTTAAATGAAGATTTGCAGCACCCACTTTTACTGTCAACAAACTTAATTCCTCTCACTCATATGCTACCATTTAATGCATCAATCATTTCTTAACTTTCTGTTTCTAATTTAGAAATTTAAAAAAATTGGCAGCAAATTCATTTGTTGAAATGTATTACAATATTTTACTTTACCAACTTATTAATCTCTGTTATTAATTTTCAGTATACAATGTAATAATAATACTTAATGGGTTTAGGGTTTTCTTGTGTAAATTACCTAATATAAATCAACAATTATATTCTTTAACTGTTGTTACAAAAAAATGTAGACTTTTAAATAAGTGTACATTTTAGACAGATGACTTCCAATGAGGCAAGTGCAAGCTAAAGCTAGGGCAGGTTTCTTGTGAAAATAACCTGATAAAAACCAAACAATTATATTCTTAAACTCTTACAAGAAATAAAAAGTTGCCTAGATGCTTTAATAAACTATGCACATTTAGACAAGCAGATTTCAAGCAAGGAACGCAAGCTTGTACTAGGGTAGCTGCAAAAGGTTATTAAAGTATACTTTCCTAAAAATTTTCCTCTACTTCATTTAACATAAAATTGCTATGAATTTAGCAACTTTTTGATTGACTTATATTTTTATGTCTTTACTGAGTTTTTAACATTTTTAACTCCATATTTAGTTCATCTACTACATAATGAAGTATAAATATTACAATCTAATCAAGACATTTTGTAATAGAGTACCAAAGGGATTGTGCAATTTTATATAATGCAAAGAGAGTGGGGAGGTGTTTATTTAGGGTAGGTGTTGATACATATTGTACAACCACTGTCTTTGAACTTTTAATCCTCATTTTGCAACATTTAAAATGGGTGGATTGACTCCATTGGCTTACATATTCTTTCTTTTTAATCATTATCAGGTTTCATGATTGTTTCCAATGATGGTACAACATGCAATTTGCTTCTACACTGTGATTCCCATAGTTTGTTTGTACATTTTTTAAATTCAAATTTTTTTTTGTGCCATCAAATTGTGTTGTGGATCCTTGAATGTTATGTAAGAGGTGTCATACCAGTAGATTTCACAGTTGATGTAGGTAAAAAAAAAATTTCTTCTGATTGTTTATGTTTGATCTGTTGCAGAGTGAACTTGTGTAAGTAAATATTTTAGATTTGTGTAGGCCACCTCTCCTGTTTTTGAAATTGTAATTGACAGTTCTTTAATTAATGTTAAACACAAGGCAGAGCTTTGAGCATTAGTTTAAAACAGAATTATCTGTTTTTGCTTATATGCACAATATGTTTCAGACTGCAACACATAAAACAATAAAACAAATTAAAGACAATGATCTTATCACTTTAAATTTAAAAAAAAATTATCTGTAAAACTTACCTGTTTGCAAAGTGTTATCAAGCTTTAATATACCCCAGCACTGTACTTTTGTACAATATGCTGGTTATCTCAAGAAATGAATTTAAAATGACTATTACAATTAATTAGACAATTACTGTAAATTTTCCACACATTGTGCTGTAAATTTAGCATTATAATCTGTATGTCCAAACCATTTATAATTTTTTTTATTTATACGCTGCTGTGACCAAACCTTTAGAAATTGCTAGTTTAGACCTTTAGATAATAATTTTTACTTATATTCTGTAGTTGATTTATGTAATAAAATGTATTTGTTGATGCTTTATAAATGTCTCAAAATAAGATGATTTACAATTGCATTAAGTATGAAAAATCAATTGAAATTTTAGGCCTATTCTATTGAGGTACTGTGCAATTTTTAAAAATGTTTTATCAAAATATTTAAGTAATGAAACAAAGTATTGAAACACATTGTTTGATATTATTATACTTTTATTTGAGTATTTTTTAATTACATTTTTAAGTATTATTACATACACATTTTTACAAATATATTTTAAGAAAATATGAATACTAAGCTATTGTCAATTGTAAATTTTCTAATTATAAACAACTAAAATAACAACAATCATTTCTGATACTTCTACCACTTTGATTTTGACTTTGAAATTAAAACACGTCTTTTATCTAAGGAGAGTTGTTTTTAAAAAAGAATAATATCACATGTTTAACAAAGCATGAAATCATTTGTAGATGAATCATTTTTTATTTTCTGTATTGCAAACACCTCTCTGCATATTTGAAATAACTGTAAACCTTTAAGTATTAGCTAGCTATATTTAACTAAGTAGATTTGATAGTATTTTATTTAGCCCTTAAAAAAACCAGTGTGACGAATCAATCAGTTGTTTAATGTAAATTGTAAATTTAAAATGAATAGTTCTTAAATTGAGAAGAAATGTGTCTGTACTTTATATTTCTATAACTATTGTTCCCAGCTAATTTAACATGGTTACCTTACTCATTGGCAAAGAGTAAATGAGATGTGAAACAAACCATGGCATCATGTTTTTTGTGTGCCCCTTATATTTTGATAATAATATTTCTCATAAATGAGATCTAGAAAATAGTTAATAAAACAGTAGAACAAAACGGTGTCAGGACTTTTTCTTTATGTATTTTAAAATTTTTTTTTAATGAATTTGTTTTTATTTACTGCCTGTTAATGCCAAATTTAATATTCTTAATTTCTAATGTACCATAATTTAGAATCCAAATTATTTCTGACTTTTAAATCTCATCACATTTTTAGTCAGTATACATAGTATTATGGGAGGTCGTGGCCTAGTGGTAGAGAGCTAAACTGCTAACCCGAGAATCTTGAGTTAGAATCCGGGTAATAATCAATGGACCTTCCTTGAATCCACCCAGCTCTGATGGGCACCTAACTCACGTTAGGGAAATAAAGGCGGCTGGGTATAGTGCTGACCACGCTATCCCTTCAAATGCCGAGGTCTCTGAAGCAGATGAACTCTACTTCATCTGCCCCATGTGTCTCGGGCACAAACAGGAAATGATGATGATACATAGTACTGGCATTCTTAAAAGATTATAAAGCCAGGCCTTACTTTTTAAAAAATAATTTTTGTCTTGGATAGTTCAATGAATAATGGACTATTTTCCCCAAATAAGGCCTCAACACCATTTACATTTAGAATGGATAGATATTAGAGCACATAAATAACTGCTAAGCTACAAGTCTCAAGTTGGGATCATAGTCTTGAGTCAGTGGGACTTCCCTGAGTGTACCCAGTATTACAGTTTATGTATTTATATACACAACACTAGTTACTTCTAATCAACTCCACTGTCCTACACACTGCTTCTACTTCTACTATCTCAACTATACCCTAGCTAATCCAACACAACTATCTCCTAACAATATCTATGTCCAACTCCTACACATCTTAAGCACCAACTTAGGCTTATGAGCTGACTTTCAAATGTGACCGGTCAGTTAATTCCTATTGGTAGGGCAATGTTATTGGTTCCATGTATCTCTTTTCATCAGTGTCCCCCCCCCCCCCCTCAAACAAAATGGAATTTATGTAGAAAATATATACTTTTATCAGTGTCTGTCCCCCAGAAAATTAAGTCTGCACAACCTCCTCCTCCCCCCTAAAAAATATCAAGTGCTCCCCCCCCCCCCCCCCCCCAGAGAGAAAGAAACACTGATTGATTCTGCATGATGATGTCTAGCTGACCTACACCATTCTACCTCTTTCCTTTCTTAGAACTGTTTTAGAGTATTGTCTAACTAGCATTATCACTAATATACATTATGATTATATTATATCATCCATGACAATTCTAGAATTGCAAAAAATGTATACAATAGTTTAATAGTAGTACTAAGTTGATCAATTACTAAAATTGATTGCCCAACAGATGTATGGTAAATTAAAAAACAAAGAAGGGTTTTAGATTTATTGTATTTAAAAAAATAACTAATTAGGAACTAATTAACAGAAAATTAATGCATTATTTTTTTTTTAAGTTAATGATGAACACAAATGTGTAGCAGTTAAAAATAATTATATGACCAGACTCCAAAAATAAAAAAAACATCTAAAAAAAACCTTCGTTTTTATTTTTAAATGCATTTAAATTTTTAAAAATAATGAAACAAACTTGATTTGATCGCTAAAATATGTAAGATATTTCATGAGTGACTTATGTTTTATTAAAGAAAGTAAGTTTAAATGGAATTGTTGTAGAAGTGGGTTAAAACTGAGATGCAAGATTGGCCACAAACCCGCAAACAAACAGACATTGTGAACTAAGTGAAAGCTTATAATAAGAATTTAAATGCACTGTTTTGTTATAGGTAGGCTTGAATCAACATCATACTTATAGCCTTATAACTATTAATAATAATAGCGAATAAGTAATAGATCTAGGAATATTCTTGTAATTTGTAAGTAACTTTAATTAATATATAATATATAATATAATTATTTGCATTTTTAAGTTCAAGTTAATAGATTTTCCATTGAATTTACTTATTTCTTTTACTCTTCTTGAAGACAAAAAGAAAATAGACACTTTTTTAAACATTTCGATTGTGCTTCTTAATTAGTTTTATTAAATTGACTGTGCTTTGCTGCGAAATACTTGTCTATTATAGCTGTGTCTGTAATTCGTAAAAATGTTTTAATTGTTACGTTATTTAGTATGATCTTAAAATAAACTCCATTGTAAACAGTAAACAAACAAAACATTCCTAAAAATCCTAAAATCCGACAGAAAAATGGCATTTTTAATTAGAACCTAGATCTAGATCTAGATGTAGAATCTAGATCTGTAATATTATAATTATAATTAGAGTTAATTAAAATCTCAATAAATTTTAATTAATAATTAAGTTTAACTAAAATTCTGCAATCATCTGACTGAAAGCTGCGAAAACTCAGCTGAAAGAGAGAAACAGATGAAGTGAAGTCAGAGAAGTTGAATGAAGAGGTAACAAAATAGATAGATTCTAGATTCTACATCTACATATTTTTAAATAAAAATTGTCAAATCTCCAGTCTACACTCTACTCTACACACTATTAGTAACAATTCCATTACTACTGTACCACAAAAATCACTCAAATCACTGTGTTGCTTCATAGGTCATAGAAGTAAAATCATACATGACAGTGGTTATTACAACAGGAGTTGTCTTTTCATTGTCATGACAGTTTTGTCTGTTCAAGTTGTTAATATCTCAATAAATAAATAATTGAAATTTGGATGTGACTTTATAACTATTCTAGTTTAAGCTTCTATGAGAGTGCTACATAACAAAGTACTAGTTAAGCAGATTGTGAGATTAGACAAGTGTTGTTGAAGTTTTACCCCAAAACATTACCTAAGTAATTCTATTTTCTATCTCAAAAATGCTTAAAAGGATTTAAATTTTAATGCAAAAAGTGCAATACTGTGACCTGTACTGTATTTTCATAATTAAGTTGATAAATTGGCATACATTTAAAAACAAAAATCACCTTAAATAAAGTTAAAGGTTTTACTATTGTAGGCTGCAGACCATAATTTAGCTAAGCTTACCCTGCTTCATAAAATCAATAAAACAAGGACATTAACTGCTTTAAAATAACACCTGCCTATTGACCCATGGGGGCCATGTCGCTCGATGGGTCAATATCGAAATTAATTGTAAAGTGAATCTATTAAAGTAAAAGCTAATTATAAAGTGTATTCAGTTTTTTAATTTAAAGTTTTAATTTAAATTCATCTGCATCTACCATAGTGTAAAAATGTTTTACCTTTTATAGAAATAGAAAAATGAATAATAATTTTACCATGCAATTTTTATGAATACTAATTTTTATTTTCAAACAGTGACTGGTTGCAGGGTTGTCAAGCCAAAGGGGATAATGGGAACAATCTCTCTTAACATTGCTGTTTATTAGAATTATACTTGAGTAAGTAAAGATACTTATCTGTAAAACAATCTAATGGTTTTATTGTGATTTTTATTAATTAGCTATTATTTGTCTAGTTTATAGTTAGAGAATGATATTTGTGTTTCTCATTCAAATGATGTGATAAGAGTAGTTTAGTCTCTTCAAACTTGTGTAAAATATCAGATTAAAACCAGCCGAACCACTGGTTAAAATGGGGTGGTATTGATATTATAAGTCCAATCATAAGATCCAATTATCTTACAATATATGTAACAATTATCATAACATGCTGCTTTTTCTTGTTTGTTTCAGATAAATGAAGCTCATTTCCTAAGTTATACCAGTTAGCAGTAAAAAATTAAGACCAAAAACAGTATGCCAATGGCAACACTATGTTGAGAGCAAATAAGAAACATCCATTACACCCAGCATCAGATGCAACTGGCAAGGGAGATGACTTTGCAGTGGTTTGTTCTGACAATCTTCAATGGCTCAGCAAGGATTTCTCTCTTTGGAACAAGCTCAAAGCTCTCATGTTCAAGAATTTTAACCCCAAGGCTGAGGCCAAATCTGCATTTTTTCTTGAGCTGAAAACATATTTAGATCCTCATAATTTAAATAATGAATTGGGGATTTCGGAACCAGATTTCAGTAAGTTGGATGAGTTCTTGGCTAAAGTGGAAGATCATTGCTTGTCTAGACTATTTTCAAGGCTTGAAATGCTAAAACTACTGACATTTGATTTTTGCAAAGAAATTAACAAAAAATGTGATAAGAAATATGTGGAAGTGTTTAATGTAGTGTCAACATTTTGTGGTTTGGATAGATTGCCAAGTTCTTTCAGAGAAGATTTTGTCAGATTTTGTTCTGGGATTGAAGAGAAGGATAAACAAAAATTAATTAAAAATTTGTATACACAAAATAAAAGCAGTGAAGCTAGTGAGATCAGCTGTAAGGTCAAGATTGAACCTGAAAGTGTGTGTGAAAATGAAAATAAAACTGACAGTTTACCCAGGAGTAAAAGAAATAATAAAGCTTTAAAAATAGAACAGAAAGATGCATTATCTAACAGGGGAAACTACTCTATTGTGAAAAAACTCAAAAGATTAAATCAAAGTGAAGAACTAGCATCAAATAATTTGAATATTAACTCTGAAAAAATCTGTACAGTAGAACCATTACCCACAGAGTTGAAGAACAAATTTACAAGTCTGAGATTACATAGAAATACATCCATTGCAGATGATAAAGACACAAAGGCAACTACAATTCTAAATTTTGCTTGTCAATTGTGTGGGTTGGACTGTAGCAGCAGCAAGGTGTTAAAAGTTCATTTAAAATCCCACATCAACCAACACAAATGTTCAGTTTGTGGTTCACTTTTTAGACACAAAGCTAGCCTGAAACAGCATTTAGAAATGCACAAGAATTTAAACTCAGGAGAAAATTTAAACGGGCAGGCACAATCTGAGTTAGAGTTGAAATCACATAAAGATTGTCGGAAGACATATAAGTGTAAAAAATGCCAGGAAGTGTTTACATATTATCCAGCATATGAAACCCACATACGAACGCATTCAAAAACCTGTTACTTAAAATGTGGGATTTGTCATAAATTTATTAAAGGGCAGGCAAAGCTGAAACGTCATGAGCTCGTTCACACTGGCCGAAAACCTTTTTCATGTGAGTTCTGTGGTACAGCTTTTGCCGACAAGTCACATTTGAAAGTACATCGCAGAGTTCACTCTGGAGAAAAACCTTTCAAATGTCTGAGGTGCGATGCAGCCTTTTCCGAGTCTTCAAAGCTCAGAAATCACCTGCAAACTCACACAGGTGAGAAATCATTTGTCTGTGAGTTTTGTGGCGTGTGCTGTACAACGCTGTCCAGCTTAAAAAAGCATAAGAGAACTCACCCGGGTCAAAGTTCATCCAGTGATTTAACTTCCACCGGCGACACGTCAAATACAAATGTGAAACTTCAGTCTGGTGAAAAGAAACACAACTGTGAGATCTGTGGTGCGTCGTTCACAGAGACAGCTAAACTCAAACGGCACAAAATGGTGCACACAGGTGAGCAACCTTTCTCCTGTGAGGTGTGTGGTAAAAGATTTGCGGATAAATCCCACCTGACCGTACACCTGCGCATCCACTCAGGTGAGAGACCATTTAAATGCACCTTCAAAGACTGCCTGTCGGCGTTTGTGGAGAAGTCAAAATTAAAAAATCACATGCGTCGACATACTGGTGAAAAACCTTACATATGTGAAGTATGCGGCACCTCATTTGCCGTGTCGTACAGTTTGAAATCCCACATGCGGACACATACGGGAGAAAAACCTTATAGCTGTAAGATCTGCGGATACTCTACCTCACAGTCGTCAAACCTCAGAACCCATATGAATGTTCACAATGGGAAAAGGCCACACCCCTGTGACAACTGTGAGGCCTCGTTTAGTGAACTCTCCAAACTGAACAGACACAAATCTATTCATTTTGATCCCACTGAAAATGAAGTGTCGGATCCCCAATCTCAATTAAAAGAAAATGGTATGAATGAAAATTATTTAAATAAGGAAACACTTCAGGAATTAAAGGGGGATAATTTTCACTTCTTTGATACCATACAATCCTCTGAGCATGGTTGTAATATTAATATTCATACTAATGAACAAATCAATGGCAATGGTTACAATTTTGTTCCTGCTCATAGGGACGACTCAGACATTTCCCAAGCTTTGTCTCTGATTAATGCACACCAGTATGCCCTAGGTTTGGGGACGTCAGACACCCACTTAGACACAAACTTCCTTGGGCCCAACTGCCAGTCAGGTACCCCCTTTCCACAGTCAAGTAGTCCCGCTCATAAACTTCCAGTATATGAGATTGGGCCCCACGCCATGGATAAGAGAAAGCTGTATGTGCACCAGGCACTGGATGCCTCAAAAGAGGCAGAGAGCTTAGGGGGACTACCTCTAGAGCCCATTCATTCATTACCATGTCTGGCTCTGAACAAGGACACTTACTTTACAGATGCCTGTCTGAATGTAGATTTGGGAACTTTATAATGGGTAAATGGTTGGTTTAAAAAACAATGAAAGGAACGTAAATGAAACAAATTCTGATTTGATATCTTAGTTTAATCAGAATGGATGTAAAAGTTGTTTTATTACCATGGCAAAATTTTGTCTTTTTGTCATTTTTAAAAAATTTGTTTTCATATCTACATGGAACACACAGTCAAGCATTATTTATTGTCATAGGATGAATGCGGTTTTCAAAATGTTATTTTTTTTAAGGGATTCTTGAAATGTGATATAATACTGGGATTCAATTGGATAATTTAATTGGATGTAAACTTACAGATTCAGATACTAGATCTATATTTTTTATACTATAATTTCTGTGTATATGGGTGAAGCCTGGAAATTTTATATTTGCAAATAAACTATGCTTGATTTATAACAATGACTTTGTCCTTTTATACCTGATTACACTGTAGTGTAAGAATGAAATCCAGTTTTATAAAAACAGCAACCATACTAAAGATGATGAAACTTCTAATTTTATCTACCTCTGCTGCTAAGTTTTATTTCATCAGAAAGCTGAATCTAGTGAATAGTTTTAGGTTTTGTATGGATGAGTGACTATGCAGTGATGTAAAATTTATGGCACTATATTTTCTCAAAGGGTGCCACTTTGGAAGTATTTCACACAATCAAGTAAAACAAACAAAATAATGTATGCAGTGATGATTTAATACTTTAGTATTGATATCTTTCTATAAACTACAAACTATACAATGAAGTTTTGAATTTAAATGATTAGATCTTTAGATGGAAAAAAGTGAGGTAGGCAAATAGTGTATGCCTCTTTAGAAGTTCTTAAAACTGAAAATTAAAAATGCATGAAAAAAATGCTTCTCAGATTAGATGATAATGCAATAATAGTTGCTAGACAATTTTTGAATCAGCAACCAAAAACCAACACCAACATTAAACTTTTGTTGTCCTGCACACAGCCAGTCTCACATCAGATTCAATGGTTTTTCCCATCAAGAAGATATAGCCCACACCCATAGTAAGGACAATCCAAGCAGGAATGATTAACCCAAGTGATCTCCCTTTATTCATTTAATTTGTGTTGACAGCTGGTTATTAACTGATATAATTTTACATACCAACACCATTTATTCCAATGTACCCAGTACAAATTTAGTTCTTAGATCAGTCCAATGATCTGGTGAGTTACTTATGAAACTAGCACTAAAATTGTTCTAGTCAACACAAATCTTAGTTAAAGATTTAAATGCAAAAAAAAAAAAAATACTGACATAGGGTCATTCAAATTTGCCATAAATCCAATGAATTATTATTATATACCAGCATTATTGTCAAAAGGTTATAGAAAATTCATTAATATAAAAATAACGAGATTATATTCCCTGAATATAATAGTTCGCACACAAATTCAAGATTCAATTATAAGAATATGTCAAATAAAAAACAAAATTTAAACTTGTAAATGAAGACCTTGCCATTTACATAAGTTTTTGGACTTTTAAATCAAATTAGAATTGTTTCTGGCTTCTAGTGTGCCTAGCTACAAAAGACAAACATTTCATCCCTCAAATAGTTTACCTCTATGTCATTACTTGTAATAACAAACATTACCTTATTTGTACAATTATAAAAAAAAAAATACTGAAATATAAAGTGAAAATAAGAACAACTAGTTTTGAAAAATGTATCAAAAATCTTTTTTTGCAGTTTAGCCAACTAGAATAAGACTGAACAAAAATGTCTTAAAAGCAAGTTTATGGCTGAATGTTAACTAAAAATCTCAAGCATTTTCCCCACTTTAAGAAAAACCCCAATATATATTAAATGCTTTTTGTATTCCAACAAACAAGATTGATTTTATAAAATTTCAAAAACAAAAAAAAAAACCCCACAAGTGAAGCAAAGGAACAAGTTGTTATACATAAAGTGTAAAGTTACAATACATACAATTTTTATACAAAAAATACATTTTGAAAACAAAACAACCAAACAAATCAATACATTTTGTCATCGGTTATTTGTAAACATTTTGAAAAGAAATTTTAGCTAGAGCTAATAAATGAAAATAAAATTACAGCCATAAAGAGCCAGTCAAAGACAAATGTTGAGCAGTGATCTGTCACACAAGAGGAATAGTTTTGGTAGTATACAAAAACTTAATTCAAGAACTTTTTTTTAGACACGTCACTTTTTGCTTAGTAGTAATAGCAGAAACATGTCTGTAACAATAGAAGACTACAAAAAATTGTAATTAAACATCCACACCTTCTAAAACACGTTAAAGATGTGGGTGTGGAAGGAAAAATATTGAAATGGCATTGACTTCGTGCTTAATTAAAAAACAAAATTTCCAGTCTTTTCTATAATAAAGTGGCCAGCACAATGTTATTCTACAGATATTCTACCTACATAAATTAGTTTAATTGTCTATACAAAACCTACTCTCAAACTAGCAATAGCATGACCATTTCAGACCCCATTCAAGTTAGATGATCAATTAGTGCATTTGTTAGGTGCATACCATCATTACCATACCTTGGTATTCATGATAATCATTGCTTTCAAAACAAAATCATTGGTAATCATTAATATATCCATAAAACTACTTCACTTATAGTAGTCCCATTTATAATGACAAGGATTGTTAGTATTGAGAAAATATTTGATAAATACTTGAATTTTATAAAATTACTTTCAAGACTCGTTGACATTGTAATTGTAAATTCAATTTAGCTGCAACTTTATATATCAGCAGTTACAAAAACAGTTTTCTGTGAAGTTCAAAATTGATCATTAAAGATAATTTTTATAACTATAAAAATGTATTCAGGTGATTACAGAGATGTTTATGAATGATAATCAGCATTTAAACATGGTTGTTGCTAAACTTTTTTGCAAATATTTATATTTCACAAACATTTAAACTAATTTCACAATTATCTTATTAAAGTGAAAGTTAATCTTACAAGCCCTGTTAATAAATAATTTTTCAATTGCTTTTGGTTTCTACTGTGAAGCAGAAACAGTTGAGTTTAGAAGGCACAGGGCATCATATCTTTGCTTGGCATAAGGTCTCATTCAGCTCTTGAGGTTAAAGTTTAATCTTGCTGGCTCCATCAGATGGGGGACACACATAGAAGGTGGCTGCCTTGCCATTTGCCTTGTATTTATTCTGAAAACAGAATGTAGTGTATTAAAAAAACAAGCCTATTTTTGCTGGGTAAATACTAAATACCAAAAGCTGATCATTTGGCAGATTAAGTGTGATTTATAATTGTGCTGGTCCTAAGGTTTGTTAAAACTTTATAGAAAGACCGCGCACTTATTTCGTGTATACCCTTAAAATAGTAAATCTTGATGACACCATAAAAATCTTTAAAACTGCCATACAAGCAGGATAATTAGGTGCATAACAGCAGTTGCATCAAATTGTAATAGAAATCTACAAGACTGTAAAGAAACCTAAAGTGAACTGGGAAGTGACCATTTCATGATGTACTTACATTAATGTGGTCAATGACCTTATCCACTGCACTAGCCTTGAGAAGGGTGACTGTACATCCACCAAATCCACCACCTGTCATTCTGGAACCGTACACACCTTCAGACTTCATTTCCATCGCAAACTCAACAAGCTGGTCCAGCTCTTTGCATGACACTTCATAGTCATCCCTGAGAAATTGTTACATTTATCATTGAAAAACAAACTGCCATCGATAAGTAAAAAAAAAAAATTCTGAATTGATAACCGTGTGTTTTTAACACTTCATATTAAAAGAAAGGACATAAAAGTAAAAGGTCACCTACGATAACCAACATCTTTTTTTATGCCAATTTATCAACCTTGAATTGCGTTACGGCAAATGTAATGAATCTGTAGTAGTAACTAGACAATCATTTTTCTGATAGAACTTTATAAGGAGATGTACTCTTAATGCTCACTGTAGTTCCTAAAGGACTCACCTCAAGGAATTGTGACTTGCGATCATCAATTCACCAAACTTGTCATACTCTCCATTCTCCAGTGCTGCAGCAGCTTCTTCAGTGCGTCTGATCTCAGTTATAACGTGACGAACTCTACGATAAGTTTCTTTGTCCAAATCTGCCTTCTTATCTGAAAATAAACATTTTATAATTTAAAGTGACAATCTTAATATAAAAAATTATGCTCATAGAATTAAGTTCTTTTGATAACTTTTAGGCCTTTAAGTAGAAAATGTTTGCTAATATATATATAAAATCTAAGCACAATCAATTTAAAATCTTACATAAATTGAATAAGTTATGACTGCTAAACTAAGTAACTTTTTTAATAAATCAGCACAAAATGAATTCTCTGGTAATTAAAAGATGGTTCAAAGTGTAGCACCACCTTCTACATTCCAACTCATGTTGGACATTAATCAGAACTAGATGCAACAGCCAAAACTATTTCCTTTATTTTTAATTACAAAAACAAAAACTATAAATTTTAGAATAACCCTATTTTAAGTTGAGGTAGACATATTTAATCTTTTAAAATCTTGCTAATTTATCTTACAAAAGACTCACCTTCAAGGTCCAGCTCAGTGGCCTCCCTTAGACTAGAAACACCCAGGACTTTGGCAGCTGTCTCACACTGTTTACGTCTAGTTGGGTATTCAGATCCAGTGAGCTCGTGTTTCACATTGGAGTTTGTGACCAGTACCACCACTTCAGGGTCAGTCATGGGCACCAATCGCCCTTGTTGGGATCTAAAAGTGATGCATGCTTTAATTAGCATTAATATTTTTAGAATGGAGAAAAAATGTTATCAAATTGCATTTCCATCTAAGAAAAAAACCTGAAAAACATTTATAAATTTTATTTTTGTTTTTTAACAGTCACTGCCAAATACAATTATCTAGTAGTATTTTAAAGTTGGATTCTATAGAAATTTAAACAAAAAATGTATCTGGCAATGAATACCAAAAATGTATAACATGGCCTCCGATGAACAAGGTGGGGTGAACTGGATATTCAGTCACATGTACCCTTGGATAATTTTTTAAGCCTTTGTAATCATCTTAAGGTAAGAGTTTAACACTGAGATTATCAACTATACTAAACATACAATTTCAAAGAGGAAAAAAAACTTTCTGTTCTTACCTGCAATCTATGAGCAGCGCATGACCTTCCTTCCCCATCATTGAAATGAACTGATCCATGATACCACAGGGCATGCCTGCAAACACATGCTCAGCTTTCTGGCACCTCAAAATTTTGTCTATCACTGGAGTGTCTTGCCCACCGCCGCCCATCTGCTCCAAAAATGTGTAGACTGCAACCTCAACTGAGGCAGAACTGCTGACACCTCCCCCTAGTGGCACAGAGGAGCAGATGACTGCATCAAAGGAGGGGATTTTTCCTGGAAATAAATCATCTAAAAATTAATAGGGTTCATATCAGGCTCTTTACTGAAGTAAAATATTTTCACCCTATTTCATGCTTGTTAAATCACTGCTGTTTATATGGTATCTTTTGTTACTATTCCATTATGGGGTACCAGCTGTACAATGTAGTCTAGAATCTAGTCTATACTTGATGAAGTTTTTGGATACTTAAACAGTAGCTACAGTGAGGATATTAAAGACAAGGTTCAGATCAGGATTGTAACTACTAACTATAGTTAAAATTCAAAAAGGGTAATAACTTAAATAAGCAGATTAAATAATAAAAGATCATTAAGTAGATGCTTAGTTAGTAGTCTACTGGATTAAGGAGATAAACAGGTTAAAGATTTTTAGTTTAGAATATTTGATTAGTATTTATTAGTTTAGCTATTTAGAAGGTTAAGGCCTAAGGCTTGGGAGATGGTTAGTGGTTAGTTTAGCAAAGTTTAGTTAATAAAATTAAAGGCCAAAGGGATGGTTGTCAAGTTGTTTTGTTACAGTTGTTACTGTTAGTCAATGACAGTCAAATATGTAAGTTGTAACTAAAGTGTAAAAAAGAACTGATAGTTTAAAAGGCAGAGAAAGACTTATTGCTGCTGCCAGTGCATGTATTGTGCAGCCAATGAAATACATAACATGCAAGTTTAGGCTTAGAGTTTAGGCCTAGTTTAGAGTTAGATCTATATTACTTCAGACTAAAGATCTATTCTAGATCTAGGGCCTAGATTCTGGATGTTAAAATTTAAGCAATCATATGCCAGATCAAATGTCAAGACGCAATGCCAAACTGGTACACCGTGGAAAAATTAAACAGAAAACCATACACTACACTTTAAAAAGCAATGTTTTACAATAACATGAAAAAGGACAAATCAATAGGATATTTATATTAAGTAATAATTATTTAACATCGTATTAAGCTCGCTAGTTTAGCTTGAAATAGGATTATGATTTTCAAGTCAGGAGAATACAATCATAATACGCCCAAAGCCCTTAATAATAATAGCCACCGTCTTTTCATTTTCAAATTTAGAGTTAAACAAAAAAACAAGTTAATTAAAAAGTCTAGTGACATTTAAGCGCAATTTCCTTATGTTATCTAAAAATAGCTCTGTCGTAGCGTAAATCAAGAGCAGGGTTAGTAAGACCATTGGTTAAAATACATGTTTTATTTACAATATAGTTACATGACTAAAAACCATTGCGCGCCTAGCTACTGAACGTGATTGACGCAGCCATTGAACGTGATGGCGCCGCTATTGAACGTGATGACGCGTGTGGTGAGGTTGGAAAAAATGCCTACTAATTCGGTCAAAATTTTAATTAATTGAAAATTTTTTTTGTGACCGAACGAAAGGATATTTTTGAAAACTTTCTTCGGCAATATTGTTTTAAATTATAGCAGGAATCGATTGGTACATGTTTCAAGTCGCTAAGTTGTCTGGTTGCCGAGATATGGGCCAAAAACTGCATTTTTTCGAGGTTTTTTGGCTTTTCCGGGAAATCCATGAAAGAAACCCGGAATTTTTATGGCCTATGCTCATCCTCGTAACTTACTTAACATAATTGCTTTTGGAACTAGTCATCGATATTGCTTCGTTGAGGAGGAGATACGACTTAAAGCTGCGGACACACATTCATACATTCACACATCCATACATTCATTCATCCAGAAATGACGGGTTAATAAACGCAATTCTCCAGAATGGAAATTGCGCTAAAAAGTTTATAAAGCAGTCAGCTAGCGAAGCTTGCTGTAGTTTAATATTTCTAATATAAAATTGGCGATTCTTTGCTGCAATAGTAATTAAATTCGCGCTGTCCCATAATGTATCAATACAAAAATTTATCTGGAAATCTTTGTTTAACTTTCATGCAACAATCCTTTACCAATACCAGAGGCGTAGCGACCGAATCCGGCGCCCGGGGCGGACTATCAATTTTGCGCCCCCCCCCTCTTTCTGTATATATAGTTGTTCCTTTCTATGGAAAAATCACCCCCCCCCCCCCGTTTGGAAAGGTTTGTGGCGCTTCTTACCAGTTACTATCCTGTAACAATTTCTGTTTCGGTGTCACAAAGTTGTTAAATCAGTGTGTGAAGCCTTGTAGTCGTTTATTTTTCGTATCTTTGACAGTGTATAATTCAATACTTCAGCTTAAAATGAGCTTTCAAATTAATTTCTCTACCCCTTTTGGCGCCCCTTAAGGTTGGCGCCCGGGGCTGCCGCCCCACCCACCCTCCCCTAGCTACGCCTCTGACCAATACCAAACTAGGCCTACAGGCCTAGTATAGAATCTGCTGAGTAGATTGGTCACAGGTCAAGGTCATGTAAATTTCCACTAAGCTACGCGTTTTTTATCACTGTCGGTACAGATAGGACTACAACAAGACCATAATAAATGAAGACATGGTTTCGAAAGATCCAGAACGCAAGAGAACTACAGTTGACCTACATATTTACTTTCATACCTGTGAGATAAGAAAGATGGTCAGTTTGTAGCCTAAAGTGAATAAAAATAGAGCTATTTCTAATTTAGTTAGCATCTAGAAATTACAGAGATGTTAAAATTTTCCATGTTCATCTAAAAATGTATTGAAGCATTAATTGAAGTCGCCAATGCGTCCCTCTAAATTATAAATTATAGACAAGATATTTTTCTTGTTAAAAAAAAAAATTTTGAAACGTGTAAGCTGCATTTCCCTGTCTAAAGAAGATGACACTAAAGATAACTGGCGACAACGCAGTAGTAGATCTAGATCAAACGTAGTTTAAAAAAAAAATCGAAAATGTTAAGCGAGCATATTTTTTTTTGCCAATTTTGTACCCCTGCTCCTATCGTCATAAAGCGCTGAAAGAGTGCGTATTCAGGGAAAATCAAACATGTCGCTTATACATTGTACTCCAAAATAAAGATAAGCTAAAAGCGATAACGTTCAACCCGTTCAGTTGATATTTAAATTTCTTAGTGTATGTCAATAATGTCATTGTCTAAACAATTCTAAACATAGCCCACGCGGCATGTGACAAGCCATGTGACTACAGAAGTAAACAACAAACGTTCGTCTTCTAAAAGGACGCCATTGTGGCGGGACAAAGCTAAATATAGCACGCTACACGTGATAAGTCTTGTGATTGATGATGGAAACAAACCCGTGTAGTACTGATGAGATGAAGGTCATCACCCTCAACTTTACAGCAAGCCAGTGAGACAAACCATATGACATTCCACACAATATTCATAACCTAATTTTTTTCTACTTACGTCACAATAATTACCAGCAACCTTTATGTCACCCCGCAACACAGTAATCAACATTCAAAAAGCACCCCCCCCCCGCCCCACAGTAAACATTTCACCAAAAAGCACCCCCGCCGCACAGCAAACAACATTCACAAAAAGCACCCCCTGCCCCACAGTAAACAACATTCACCGAAAAGCACCCTCCCCCTCCTCACAGTAAACAACATTTATTAAAGAGCAATCCCCGCCACACACACAGGACCAAACAGAACTCCCCCCCACCCCCACATCCCCAGCGACCAAGCAGCACCCCTTACACACCAGCCGAACAACTTCCCTCCACACCCCAGCCACAAAATAGCAACCCCTACACCTCATTAACCAGACATCCCCTTTCCACCTCAGCCAAACAACACCCCCTTCCACCTCAGCCAAACAGCACCCTACACACCCCCATTAAAACACACCCATATATCATACCTGGCATCTGAGCAGCCACGCCCTTGACATAGTTCGCCCACTTGGGCGCGCCCGGCTTGAGTTCGTCCACAGAGAACTCCGTGTACCTGGGTTCGTCGGTCGAGCCAGACAAGGTCTCCACACGGCAGGTTCCAGAGGCCGTTGGGTTCCCTACCATCACCGTCACCATAGGCAACGCCTGGAGAGTTAAAAATAGGTGAATTATTAGGCCAGAAGTGTCATCAAGATACAGTTCTTGTAGACTGTCAATACTAAGGAACGGCGTGGTCGAATGGTAGAGCTTACAACTGCTCATCCGAAAGTCACGAAATAGGATCCCGGGCTTGAGTCCACCCTGCTCTGATGGGTACCGGACTCACGTTAGGAAAACAAAGGGTGCTGGGCTGACCAGACTACTCTTCCCTTGTATGCCAAGGTCATTGTAACAGATGAACCCATCTGACCCATGTGTCTTAGGCACGAACGGGAAAAGACGACGATTGTCAATATTATAGCACCAGCTGAATATAAAAGCCTCATGCCATTTAATTGTTATTTTGGATGCTTCAGCTACTAACACATTTCGTTAAACGCTAGTGTGTATTCCAGTTTTACAAGTATGGAATAATGACAACAGGTAAGAACATGCACATGAGGTTATCAGTGTCGAATTAGTCTTAAAATATTTCAGATTAGTTCAAAGCAGATGTGCGCATTCGCCCTTCAAACCAACAAGGAGTTCAGTGGCGTAGCCAGGATCGTCTCAAGGGGGGGGGAGGGTTTCCAATTTTTACCCGGGGACAAACTTTCGATTTGCACCCCCCCCCTCAAACTTTCGATTTGACCCCTCTAACCCCCCCTGCCTACGCCACTGAAGGAGTGCATTCGCCCTTCAAACCCAAGAAGGGGTGCATTCGCCCTCCAAACCCAAGAAGGGGTGCATTCGCCCTTTGAACCCCCCATTAAGCTGTGCATTCGCCCTTTGAACCCCCCATTAAGCTGTGCATTCGCCCTTTGAACCCCCCATTAAGGTGTGCATTCGCCCTTTGAACCCCCCATTAAGGTGTGCATTCGCCCTTTGAACCCCCCATTAAGGTGTGCATTCGCCCTTTGAACCCCCCATTAAGCTGTGCATTCGCCCTTTGAACCCCCCCCCATTAAGGTGTGCATTCGCCCTTTGAACCCCCCATTAAGCTGTGCATTCGCCCTTTGAACCCCCATTAAGGTGTGCATTCGCCCTTTGAACCCCCCATTAAGCTGTGCATTCACCCTTTGAACCCCCCATTAAGGTGTGCATTCGCCCTTCGAACCCAATACGTTTTGCCTTCATCCCGCGAACGATGGGGGTGTGGGTAAATCCAAACCCTTTTAATATAAACATGACCCACATCCTGGAGGTGTGTCGGGTCCGAAATGACCCGGATATGAGTCATGATCAGTTTTCATACAGAGTTATCCTGTTTCATGTATTGATTTTTTTTTCTCTTTCAACAGGATGTAAACGTATATAGCCCTAGCGCTAAAATAACATTTCTATACCAGTGGTGACAGTGGTTTAACATTACAATATATACCAGAGCACAGTACCATCCTTAAAATGACAAGCAGTGTATTTAAGTTTGAAAATATGTTTTTTTTAAAGAAATATCAAATCGTATAACGTGAGTTATGTAGAATCTAGATCTAGCAATTCTGTCTTGTTTAGTCTATAAAACTTTTACGTTTCTTCCTATTTTATTTGGTTTGGGGAAATGGTTTTTAATTCAGCACTTTATAAAAAAGTAGAACAAAACAAAAAAACGGCATCTTAAGACTATCATGATATCTTTAAAAGAATACAATGTAATCTGACAACAGAACGAAGTCTAGATAACAAGAACTTTTTACTAGGACAAGAAACGCGCAAGTACATCTAGAAGAGAAAAAAACAAAGGCTCGCCAGACTTGAAGAAAAATGTCCTATTTTAATATCAGTGCACTTGTACGTGACCTAGTTCTGTGGTCTAGAGGTCCCAGACTAGATAAACAGTGCCGCCAGACTTACCGTACAACTCCCAAAAAGTTAAATTCTGTGTCGGAGATGTTTACAGACCGACGTTCGTTGGATTATCTTTCTAGGGACATAATTTATTAACAGATGGGTGACGTTACGAGATTAAAACAGGAGTCTGTAACCTGCTAAATGACGGTTGTTAATTCTAGACCAGATGACACTTTGGTGAAAACACTTTCTACAGTTTCTAAAAAAATGTAGATTCTTCTTCGTTCTTAATTTTTAGTGTTGGAAGGTATCGAGCCTTATCTGCCAGAGGGTTTGAATTTATCAACCATGAGCTTTTGCCGACTCGACCACGCCTCCATCACAATTAAGGATACGTGTCAACTGGTTATGTGCCATTGAGGTCATTGACTCCGATTTCAGCCTGCTTTTCTTTTTGGATTTGCTTCCATAGCCTTTGTCCAACCAAGAACAAACTACAAGGCAGCAGTAGTTTTATTTCGGAGTTGTCCCTCCCTAGAAGAGCGGCTGTCCCCAGCTAACGAGCCTCATCTGCCCGAGGGTTCGAACTCGAGACTTTTCGGTTTAGCAACCATGAGCTTTACCGACTCGACCACGCCGACCCCTAAAAATGTATATGAAAACCACCCATATGAAAACCACTGTTAGTTTTTTAAATTTTAACAATCAGAACATAAATATAACAGTGCGGATTTTCGTAAGCAGTTTTGCTGAAATATTAATATACAAAATAATCTGGTAATCAACAAGTTGATAAGAAGCTTCCTTGATTTGTCACGCTTTGCCTTATGATTAGTGTTACGATTGAAGTTAATGATATAATAAAGCGGGTATGGTTAAAAATAGCCTACAAAAAAAAAAACCCGCTGTCAGCCACGGAAGTTGACAATTATATTTCAGTAAGCAGACGACAGCGGATCTCAACACACTGGTCCCACTGCAACTGTGATTTGGGTACATTAACGCTTGAATCACAACGTCGTAGGACTATGACACAAACTTCATATAGAACAGAATCAGAACATTGTTAACACCTTTAAAGGGAAATAACTCACCTATAACACCAATCTACACTTGATACTGATTTAGTAATGATGGCTCAAGTGTTTATTGATATACACCATAAGTTCAAATACATGGACATAATTTACACAATACATGTGTACATACAGTGTAACCTATTTCAACGTAAATTTAAAACAATTCTGTAAGTTTGTCTTAAAACACTATAAGAAAGTTATATTTGTGTGAATGTTAAAAATTGTTGGAATTAAAATTTTCAATATTATCTTTAACTTGAGCTATCGCTGTTTCTGAAGCAAATTAGTTAAACTTTTAAGTATGTTATTAGGATATAGATATTTCAATAATTAAAGACGTCAAACAGTCCTATGTTACTAGCCAACAGTAAAAAGATTTTAATGAGGGGTGAAAGAATTGGCACCCGGCATTGCCCACATGCGGACAATAGGCACCCGGCATTGCCCACATGCGGACAATAGGCACCCGGCATTGCCCACATGCGGACAATAGGCACCCGGCATTGCCCACATGCGGACAATAGGCACCCGGCATTGCCCACATGCGGACAATAGGCACCCGGCATTGCCCACATGCGGACAATAGGCACCCGGCATTGCCCACATGCGGACAATAGGCACCCGGCATTGCCCACATGCGGACAATAGGCACCCGGCATTGCCCACATGCGGACAATAGGCACCCGGCATTGCCTACTTTTGGACAATAGGCACCCGGCATTGCCTACTTTTGGACAATAGGCACCCGGCATTGCCTACTTTTGGACAATAGGCACCCGGCATTGCCTACTTTTGGACAATAGGCACCCGGCATTGCCTACTTTTGGACAATAGGCACCCGGCATTGCCTACTTTTGGACAATAGGCACCCGGCATTGCCTACTTTTGGACAATAGGCACCCGGCATTGCCTACTTTTGGACAATAGGCACCCGGCATTGCCTACTTTTGGACAATAGGCACCCGGCATTGTCTACTTTTGGAAATAGGCACCCGGCATTGCCTACTTGTGGACAATAGCACCCGGCATTGCCTACACGTAGACAGTAGGCACATTGACCCTACATCGCCTACACGTTCAACTTAACGACCCCTGGAAAAGAACAAAGCTATTTATATAGCGAAACGCGAAACCTAGGGGGAAAGGGTTAGACAGAGGTCAGCTATACTGACCACGTATAGCCGGCGTCGTACGGCCTTCACACCACCTACTGTTTCACAGATTAACTGGATAGCATCAGCAGCTGTCCTAGATAGAATGACCCCTGTGTGTGTGTGTGTGTGTGAAGGGGGGTATTTTAATTTGTACAATTATTAAGGGACCAACATATAGGCTACGTTCCAACCTTACGGACACCTACATAGTACATTCTAAAACATTTTCCCTTATTAATTTGGGGGATGGAAAAAAAAATTAAAACTAACAATACTGTATTATAGAATTAGATTCTTAACCCCCCCCCCTCCCCCCCAACTATTTCGTCGTTAATTACATTAGTCAAGCATAATGATTCTAAAAGCTAACCCTAAACTATAGAACTTTAATTTCAGACAGTTTACGTCTATATATTGCGGCCAGGAGTTCGGATCCTTACTTCCTCTTCTTAAGGTACAGACCTATACTTAACACTGAAAACAGTCCCGTGTAAGCACGATCACAAACAAAACATTTTTGCTCAATCCATTGTAATGTTGAATGTATTGCGTGCAGCACACATTTGTCGATAACCTAATTCCCTGTCAGGTTATTGTTTCCATGTTCTGGTACGGATAATCCGTTTCCTAGTTCCACCTGGTTCTCTTTCAAACTATCTGTTTCTTCTCAGTGGCGACCCGGCAAAGATAATCTAAAACTGGCGGTGTTTGAATTAGAATCACCAGTTGCTGAAGTTTGCTTAGTATTGGCTTGTTAAACCCCACACATCCACATAGCTGCAAAACTGTTTTGTACCCCTCCCATCCCATGAACTTATCCTAAAAGGTATGTCTTATACTACCATCCATCAACGTATCCGAAACTGTGTCTTGTGCCCCACCCATCTTATCCTAAAAGATTGTTCTTTTACACCAATCATCTCAATGCTACACAATGTCTTAGCTCCCCCCCCCTCCCCATCTTATGAACCTATCCTAAACAATT